AAATTGTAAGTTTTGAAAGTTTATTGATCAAAGTATAAAATTGGAAACGTTCAAGGACTAAAGAGATAATTTTCCCAAAAAATTATTTCATAAATGAATAGTTTATCCTTAAATATGGAGTTTTCATGAAATTCAGATTTCGATTCTGGATGAGTAGAAAAAATTATAAAGAAATAAAGTTCGGTAAGGGAATCAAATAATCGGATCGAGTCGGAATTTCACGAAAATTTGAAGGATGTTATAAAATGATTGAAAATATTATTTCCATATTTTATATCAGATAAATTTAGCTCAAATTAGTGTAATTTTATAGATTTGGCCGAACAGTGGAATTTTAGTGACTAAAATGCAATTTTTGAAAATTGTATTTCCAAAGTGGAAAAACAAGCCAAGTTAATATATTTTTTACTAAGGAATATTTTAATGGGGAAAATGGAAATGTCAAATGGTAATATTTAGGATTCATTAATGGCCAAAATGGAATTTCTCAAAAGTTGAATTAAAAATTCAATTAAATTAGTTTTTAAGCCAAGTGTAAGATTAAATTACACTAGAATATTGAGAAATCTTTACAATTTCAGCTACCTTTCTCTCTATGGCCGAAAGCTCTGTTGTTCAAGGTGAGAAAACTTTGTTTTAATTTTTAAAGCTTTTTGAATGATTTTTGGACTATATTGTGAAATAGAGAATTATTTTACATGAAATTTTCTATCAATCAGTATAAATATTGCTTGATAAAGATGCTTGTGTGTTGAGATTTGGGTCATTAGGGTTTATGTAGGGTCGGTGGTTTTGAATAATTGATTAAAGATTTTTATGTTTTTAAGGTTGGAGATCAATTCTAAAGCATGTATGATGATTATAATTATTTGTACAAACTTATACAAGGTTTGGCCATACTTCGGGTTTTAGAAGATTGTTTGGTTTTGGTTTATTTTGATGTTGTGATGATTGGAAATGCATGAATTTAATCATAGGAGGTTGAATTCATGCTTAGAATTGAACAAAAAGTCACCATGGGAAACTTGGAGCATTTGGCCATAGGGGATTAATTAGGAGGAAAATATTGAAAAAATTTCCTATGGTCTAGAATGAATATTTGAAGTGTTTTATGTGACTTGACGATCATTTTGGAAGCTTGAATAATGAAAAGGGCTAATATACAAGTTTTTCAATTATTTCTAAACGATTATATATTTAAACCTAGAAGAACTTGTTACCGAGATTCAATTTTTTTCATTTTTTATTTCAAGTAAATAACTGTTAAAAATAATATTATTTTAATAAAACTCGTTACCTTGAGGTGACGAGTTCCTTAGAAATTAATTAAATAATAATCACATAATATAAAAACAATATCATTCAAAACTCGTCACCTCGAGATGACGAGTTCCATGTGTATTATAGAAATTCTCGTAGATCCCAAAATAATTTTTTTTTCATTTTTCATTTTATCTTCAAAATTTATTGTTTTCCATCTTAATCTTTCCTTATTAGACCAGCCTATACATTGGGTGGCTTACCCAAAATTTTGTACAAATATGATTTAAATAAATTTGGGCCTGAAAATCAGATCATAATTTGGGCCTGAGTGAGTTAGATTTTTTTTAAATCAGACTTTCCATGAAAATCTATAGTCCAAATAAAATATAAAACTTTTATTTATTAATTTAGAGTGTTACAAGTAATAATATACGTTTAAAAGACTCTTAACCATCTGACAATGAACGCTCAAATATCATATACAATGTTCGATGCTCTAACCAAAACCTTCAAAATTTACAATCATTCTTTTGACCACAGAAATCGCTTAATTTATGCAAATAAAATACAAAACTTAAAAAATCCCATTTTATGTTTTTACACATTTGTTTTATAATATTTGTGCAAATATTATAACTGAAATATATTTGTAAATACTATTATTTGATAAATTTCATTTCTTTTATTTAGTAACATATAGAAGTTGGACTCCTTAAATTAACCTTTCCTCAATATGTAAGGCTTCTCTCTTTTTCTTTAATTTAAATTTTCTCACTATTTTTTTTGTCTCGTTCCTCTCTTTTTTTTTGATTTTATTTAGCCATCAATAATATTAATTTTAATATTAGTTATCGACCACCGATGATTATTATTTTTGATTCTATGTCATTTGTTTTCTTTTTATTTCTCTTGAGTTTTTTTTTAAATTTTAAATAAGAATTTTTGTCCTTGTTACACACTTTTCTTTGCTCTTGTGGCACGTTTTTTCTCTACTTTTGTGGCACGTTCCTTATAGCTTTCGATAAGCTTTTCGAATACATATGTGGTCATTTGGTGCTTGCACAAAGATTCTCACGACATTTGTTTTATAATTGGTTTGTATGTGGTCACGTATTGTCAGATCCCTTCTTTGGTAAAAGGTTATTTGTTGATATGAACAGAATTGTGTAGCGAAACAGTCTGTCAAGTGGTTTGGTTAGCTCAGCACTCATTTATCATTTCGTAAAGCATCTCGTTCAACAGAGATAAGAAGTTTTATAAAGGTTATTGAGTTCTTTTGATGTTGGACATTCTCAATGGAAGGTTTCGTTTTTTTTCGTATCTTTGTGTTTAATATTTTTTGTTTTATTATGAGTTTTCTGATGACTATTGTCTTTAATTTTCTCTCTAGATGCATTATAATTTTGATTCCTTCCATTATGTTAATAATAAAATTCAGTTCCCATTGTTCGGAAAAAAAAATCATTCCTCAAACCAAAGAAATTAAATTTAAAACCAGCATGCATGTGCCCAGGAAACAAAGCTCTACTCAACTAGCATTACCCCATTTCTTAATTATTCTCCTTTTTGTCACTAAACATAATTTAAAACCACTAATCCATGTTGGCATTTTAAAACCCCATTAACCAAATGCCAAGGTTTCTAGACATGTTGCCCTACGAATATTACCTCAAATGTCTTCACATGATCCCATAAAACATATATTTATTATTTTTCAAATAAACTATCGGGTAAACTATGTATCTAGTCTTTCACATATTCTCACAGTTTCGTTTTAATTATTCAACTATTTTTTTTAAAAACATGACATAACAATTATATTTTACTTTCATTTGTCACCCGTCGTTAAATTTTTAATGGCGGGTGAATAAAACGGGAAAATATAATCAAGAGAATATGCAGGTAACTTACCCTAAACTATTTTAAAAGTAAAGAGTTTTCTACATATCTAATTGGATTATTGGCTAATTGTAGCCCCAAAATCCAAGTTTATTTGCATGATTTTCTGATCCATCTGTAAACGTATTTGTTTATGGAGTCCACCAAATGAAATTACATTGATTAATATCCACAGCTAATCTGCATTATAGGTTTTTAACTTATATAAATACAAAGGAAATGATCCTATGCAAGGGTGGGCTAGCAAGCAAGAACAGAAACCCTAGTTGCACTTTGCTTGTTTCCATGTGTACATTGTGGGCAACCCCAAATAATATATATATATAAATCATTTGTTTAATATGACTGTAGTAGCCTGACATATACAGATCATCCATCCTATTCCATCGGCACTAACTTATAAAAACCGTGTCCAAATCACAAACTGAAAGCAATGGGACTGTACAGTGACAAACTCCAACAAGTTATCTTTTCCACATATAATATATATACACACATACATATATAAATTAGAGTTTGGATGTAGTTTGACTAACCAGTGACATTCTTCGTGGTTAAACTCCGAACTTCAAGGAATAACAACAATTGTTTTAATGCTGAGATCGCTTGATTCGTGTTGATATTCTTTGTTTTATAATTATTTTATATTCATGGTATTTGAACTCAGAACCTAATTAGGTGGTAAACACATGGACTAGACTGTAAATGAACATTATTGATTTGGATGAAATTAGCTGGAAAAAAAAAGTGATTCAATTGAACAAATACTTTGCATCTGTCACTGAAAATTAAAGAAGAAAATGAAAGTAGTAGAACGTAAAATAAGAAAAGCAAAGGAAGAAAAAAGGAGAATCATGAAAGTGGAGGTAAAGGAGGACTGTGTTGGATTGTAGGGGGGGGGTAACAGTGAGTGGGTTACATGACTCAAATTATTATTATTTATTAGGGTAAATTATGCGTTTAATATCTAAATTATCAGTTTTTGTCTATTTTAGTACTTAAACTTTTATCTTTTTTAAAATCATACTTAATGTTTAGTTTTATTTTATTTTAGTACATGCGGTTAAAGCTTAATGGATGTGCAGGCCTGTTGACCACTGCGTTTACAGTCGTCGCCCGTCATATTTGTCGGTAGATGAAGCCCGAACTTTTTCATCCCACACCTTTTTGACCCCTGAATGTGATTCAAGTCTTCATTTCACCGGGAAACGTCTCAAACTCTCCAAATCGATGATGGACTCTTCGATTTCTTCATCCTCCGATCTCCATGGTCCATTGTCTGATGGGCCTGAAACTAGACTATGTTGGTCGACTCATAATTCTCTCGTGGTCCACCACTCGGATTGGTCATCTGTCGACCAAAACTATGCCACGTCAACTCATCTATTAAATTTTTAGCGGTGGAGTACAAAAATGAAATATAAACCAAACCAGATATGTTTAAAAAAAAGTTGAGATAAAACGGATAGTTTAGATTATTTTGGTTTGCTGCAGCAATCAAACGCTCAAAAAAGTATGGCATTTGGATGCCATTCCCCTTGTTTGCCAGCACAGGATTTGCCCTTGCCTACGTCCCCTTCACGAGGATGCACCATTTTCCAACTTGTTTTTTTTCTTCTCTTCATCTCTTTGTCTTCTTCTCCCCTTGAAATGTGTGTAGGATACGCTCTTTCTTCTTCATTTCCCACCCCTTTTCTTAACAATGAAAAGGGATATAATAGTTTGATATAATTAACTTTTGGGTATATATTTTGTTCACTGAAGGATGAAATCTGTAAAACCATCACGAAGGGCTCTCTTTCAATGCAAATCTCAAACATTTTTATTCCTTCCATAACTATCTTTTCACACCAAAAGTTTTTAACTGGATATAATTCAAGTTTTATACACCACTCTCAAGGTACCAAAACATCGATATTATAACTATATAGGGCAGGCACCATGATCAATTGAAATGTTGTTGCTCAAGCCATGGCCAAAACCCGGTTTGATCTTCAATGTTGCAGAACATGTTGCTGAGGCTTTCTTCTTTAACCATTTGATCCATTCTCGACGACGAGGTCTGAATAGTTGTGCACCACCGCCGCCGCCGCCGCCTGCCGGTCTAACATTGGATGTGGGGAAGAAGGTTATGCTTGTCGGATGAGTCGATAAAGGGCTGTCAATAGCCGGTGTCCTAGAGATATCCAGCTTTATATCTGAGCTGTTTTCACTTCTGTTACTGCAAGAACCTTCGGTTTCTTTGTTGAGGTTGATAGACTCAGTTGGTTCCCTGCTTTTCAGTGCCATTATCTGCATCCAATCAAAGATGAAGACTTTTTCTCAACATAAAACAAAGACTTTTGGTTAAGATTAATAATACCTGATCATGGAGCTTTTGGTTCTGAGCTTGGAGTGCATAATTATCAGCCTTGATGGCTTCGTACTGTCTCTTGAGGAGATCATAGTCTTTCTCAAGTTGCTTGGTTTTCCACCTAGCTCTTCTGTTTTGGAACCAAATGGCTATCTGCCTCGGGTGCAGCCCAAGGGCTCGAGCCAGCTGCATTTTTCTCTCGGGTTCAAGCTTGTTCCCCAGCTCAAAGTTCTTCTCAAGTGTCTTCACCTGTTCCATGTTCAGCCTCCTCTTCTTTTCTCCCGCCTGTGAACCCTCATCTGACAGATCCTCCTCCTCATTTGCTTCTTCACACACTTCTATCCCTGAAAACGACATTGATCTCTTCCCCAGAAACGATGACACTCCTTAAACCAAATCAAAACCACATCATCAATCATATACATGCATACATACATACATACACACATACATAGTTTCATCAGTATCAGATGAAAGATGTATACAAATACCATGGAAGTCTTGGGGAGGGCAAGAAGGGAGCATTTGATTGATAGAAGTTGAGGGTTGATGATCTTCGTCCCGAGGGGTTTGGAGCATGAAATTTGCTGGGAAAAAAGCCATCCCACCATTGCAAGACATGAACAAGCAGGCGGGGGTTCTAATAAGCCTTTTCCAATACTATTAACAGAACTGTATATTCATCCTCGGATTGGACACGGAGTTTAATGCAAGAAAAGCAAAACATAGATTTGATTTTGATGTTAAGGGGGAAAAAGGAACTGGAAATTCTTGAATTGGAAGGGTGATGCAGTGATTTGTTAAAAGGGGATAGCTTATATACCTTATCAAAGGGAAAAGAAACTCTCTTTCTTATATGCTGAGAGAGAGAGAGAGAGATGCATGAATGATTAATAGTTCACTTCTCTTTATATGAGGATCGATTCATTTGATTTAAAAGGAAAAAAAAATACTTTTAATTTATATGTTTATTACTTAAATTATTACTTTATGTTCCATTTTAGTACCTAAATTTTATTTTATTTTAAATAATGCCTAATATTTATTTGGGTAAAGTATACAAATGATCCTTTAACTATAGGGTACCGCTTTATCAAGTTCTTTTACTATTAAAAGTTATAAAATGATCCTCCAATTAAAGAACGTTGCTTTGTTGAGTCCTTCGACTATTAAAAGCTATAAAATTGTCATCTGATTATTCATTTTGTTCCAAACTCATCCTTTTCCGTTAAAAAATTGACGATATTCTGAGCTGAACATTAACCTACTGACTGTTATATGATAAAATCAAATCCCAAAATCTGAAAAACTATCATATCCCATTCATTATGTTAACATCCAACTCAGACGACCGCCAATTTCTTAACGAAAAAGGACGAGTTTGGATTATAATGAATAGTCGGGTGACCATTTTGTAACTTTTAATAGTCGAGGGATCCAATAAAGCAACACTCTATAGTAGGAAGATCATTTTTTAACTTTTCATAATCGAGAGATTTAATAAAGCAATAATGCATAGCCGAGAGACCATTTATGTACTTTACCCCATTTATTTTAGGTTTCAATTTGGTACCTCACTGTTAAAAAGTTAGCAGATCTGCTGATGTGAATTTTTTTTATTTTTCTCAATGATGATGTGACATTATCACTAGTGCATGCCAATATTACTGTTAAGTTTTTAACGGTAAGATACCAAAACGAAATACAAACTAAATGTTAGGTATGATTTTGAAATAAAATAAAGTTTAGATATCAAATGGAATAAAAGTAATACCCTTAAGTTTATTTTCTTTATAGATATACGACTTTGCTGGGAGAAGCTAACTTTTTTAGCACAAGAGAGAGGAGGGGAAGTCTAACGTGGTAGCTTTAATATATGGTTAAAGAAATGCGTTATCGATTTTATTATTATTTTTTTAAAATTTCAAGTAAAAAATTACCTAAAACATTATTATTTCTACCGGTTTTGTTATTATTGGGTGCTTTACCGGTTTTGTTAACATATCCGGTAAAGTGTTACCTAAAACATTATTTTTTTTCTACCGATTTTGTTATTATTGGACACTTTACCGAAAATGTTAAAAAACATTAATGTTTTACGTATAAATAATAATGTTTTAGATATTTTTTTACAGGAAACGTTAAAAAATAATAATAAAACTGGTAACACCTTTCTTTAACCGTATATTAAGATTATCGCACGGTATAATTTCTCGAGAGAGGAAGGATGGTTAAATTTTTTTAACTTTTTCTTTTCCCACAATTGGGAGACAAACAGTGGAGTTTTCTTAAGCAAGACAGCTGTCTTGAAATACAAGGAAATGTTAAAATTTTCAAGAAGCTTGATTCCATCCATAGCTATATGGCGTATTTCATACTTTAATAATGTGAAGTGGGTGACTTTGAGGGAGAAAGAGGAATATTGTAATAATATACATGGGCTAAACGGATCTGATTTTATATTGTTTAACCAAATGAAGTAGGGTGTTCATACGGGTAACAAGCGTTTAGGGTTTTGTAATGTTTAGGGGTCGAAGGATGTCGGGAACATAATACGTCTTTGGGAAGACACGACGATCACAATGCGTCTTCTGCTTTGTTCTTATGGTAATCTTAGGCATTTTAGCTGCGTGAAAAATGGAAAAGGATGAGGCGTCTTCTCCAACATTATAGTGATCACACCATCTCAATAAATAATTCCGACGAGATCCTATACTAGTCAATTATTTTTTTCCAACACCCCATGCGAGTAATTTAATCGGGTTTAGGGTTACTCAAGAGAGAATAGAACGGACTAAAGTTAAAAACAAAGATAAGGTTTTATGTTAAGAGGACGAACTTATAAAATTTTAATAAAATAAAATAAAAATTAATAAAATATATAATAATTTTAAATTTTTAAGAAAACAACTCATACCCGTAGGGTAATCCATTCCGGACCGTAGGTAAAGGAATCTAGGGAATGGGACCAAGGGAGGGCAGGGACTGAGACTGCCACCTAACCACCAACAGGGATCATGGCATCATCAGGGCCTCTTTCCCCCCAATTTCAGTCCTCTGTATGTGAATGCGTATCCATTCCAAACTATATTATATATTGTTTTATTAAATATTGAACTCTTCGATTGAGAATTTTCACATCATTCAAAATTGAAAAGCCGAAACAAAAATGGACCCAACAAGAGCTGGTCTGTTTTGTCTTTGAGCCCTCGTCTCTATCCCAATCCTCATTTCATGTCCTGTCGTCGTCTTCCCTTTCTCCATTCCATTTATTTCGTTCCACCATCTTTTTCATGTGTCACATGGGTTATATACGATTCATCTTTTTTAATTTGAACATAGAATCATAATTAACGATGATACGATAACATTAACGATAAAGAAATAAAGGAGAATCTTCAGAAAAAGAGTCCAAATGTAACATCTCAGTTTTCCATGTCATAAGGGTTTATGCACTGATCTATTAGGAATTTGTAACCTGAAAAAAAATCAAGCGATATTAACGTAAAAAAGATCACCCGTCTGTTAATCCGGTCGCGTTGCGTTTATCGTGATTACAACAATAGTGGATGTTATTGTGGTCGTTACGAGTATCACGGTTGTAAAATAACGGTTCCAAATGACATATTTATCTCTACATAACGGTCACTATTCTGACAGCGAAAAATTTAAATCTCTGATCTATCTATACACTTTTTTGTAAGCCTTATACCTTCTTTAACATAGTTTATCACCTCAACTTCACCTTCACTTATAGGGGTGACCCGCATCATTTATGATGTCAAAATAAGTAGTTTTAATCCCAATAAAATGAATAAGAATAAGTAGAATAGTCAGAGTAAGGGTCGATCCATAAGGACTAGAAGTTTGATGATTTCTTCGCTTTTGATCTGACTTTAGGCGTGATTTGTAAAAGAAATTAGAGTGGGAATTTTGCAGAATTAAAGCGAAATAATAAAATTGATCGAAATAAAACAAAATAGTAAATAAAGAAAATAAAATTCAATTGGTAAAAATCAGCCTTTAACTAAAGCTTTTGCCTAACCCCTATAACTTTTTTTTCTCCCAAATGAATCGAGAGTTGAAATGAAATCGCCTTGATTATAAAAAGATGATCAATTATTGATCTTTGATTTTCGAAAACTAAAAATGTAACCCTTTAGGGTATGAAGCGCTTTTCGATTTTCACGACTTAGAATCAAGTATTGGCTATAGAAAATTTAGCTAAGCATGGTAGAAAAAAAAATTAAAGTAACTTGAAATGTAAAAAGAAAGAAAAACTTTTATAAATTTAAAGGAAGGAAGAAACAAGAGTTGAATGAATTCTGAACGAAAATCGATGCATTGAGGTTTACCCAATGGGGTATTTATAGTCTTAAAAAATCTAGAAAACAACTTAAAAAAAGATAACTCCTAAAGATAATTCTTAAAAATAAAAATAAGATAAATTCTAATTTAGAATTAAAATTCGGCTAAGTCTCCTTTTCCATGACACTATTGATTGGATCATCTAGAAGCCGCTACCTGGGTCTTCTAAAAACTGTTGACTGAGCACCACGTCACCTGCCACGCCAGCTACCACGTCATCGCCACATTAGCTAACACATCATCGCCACATTAGCTACAACATCAGCCGCTGACTAGATGCTATGTCGGGTGTGTCATGTCCCAAGTCGTGTCCACTAATCCGACCATGAATCCAAAAAAAAAAATTATACGATTTTGTTGTTCTTAGCATAATTTCTGGAATTCAATGTTTTGCATCGAAAATGAATGAAAATACCCAAATTAGCAACTAAAATTATCTAATCAATGAATAATTAATCATAAAATAATATATAATTTAAACACTAATCAAGGGGCAAACTCGCATTTATTTTACGGGGATAATCTAAAGCAACAAAAACAATGATTGCCTCACTTTTCATTTTTAACAGCTTTTCGAAACACCACTCATATGAGGTCTGAGGGCTTTCCCTTGCAAGTGTATTTTGTATAAACAAAACTAGAGAAGCCTTGTTCCGACAATGAATGTAAACACTAGATGTTTAAACCAATAGTTTACAATGCTAAAAACTACTGAATGAACAAGCCTTAATATGCCAGCATGAACTAGTTGTGTGTTGGACCAATGCATTATCCTTGAATCTTTTCAAGAATATAGGGTACCTTATACTTACTCATGATGAGTTAAGGATATGAAAGATATGAAGGATTTGACTTGGTTAGGGTGTGTTTTCAGGTCCATATAGACAGAGACGGTCACAAGATTTTATATTAAAGGGAACTTATAAAATTTTAGTACGGAGTGAATATTTTTATCCGTTCCATTCGATCCATTCATAAAGAGGGATATGTGCGTAAGGAGATAGGGATGCCATTGCCAATCAATCTGCATATTGGTGATGGTTTGATTGGGTCCATTGCTTGCCTTTAAATGACTTAGCATTCCAATGCTTTCTCTCTCCAAGGGAGAATTAATATACTAAAAAAGTTTGGGGGGAGGGGGACAGAAGAGGAGGCCATGTGATATGCAACTTGATGCACTACTTCCCTTCCCTTACTCTTCACTTTTGCATTTCCTGTGCTTAACTTTTTTCTCATAACGATAGATCCAGGGATGGACCAAGGGGTGGATTGGGACTGTCGTCCGAATTTTAAAATTACTATATATTTTAGATTTTTTTATTTTTTTATTAAAAATATGTTTTCGTACCCCCCTAGAATTTTACAAGTTCAAGTTCGTCCCCTTAAAATTTTAAAAGTTCAAATTCGTTTCCACATAAAATCTTACGTTTACGTCCATCTCTAGGTGCATGGTCGCAACCGTCCGGATTCGCTGCAAATCACATGAGCCTTTTTTATTTGGAGTTTATAATGGAATAAATATACTACAGTAACAACGGGAAACAAAATAGTATCGGGTGTTTTGTTTTTGGAACAAATTTGTTGATGGGTAATAACGAGAGACGAATGCAAGATTTTATGTAATAAAGTGTGAACTTAAAATTTATTGATGGAAACAAGTTTGTTTCTCGACTGTTGGAGGTTTACCCCTTCTGATTTAGATGGAGAGTCGTGATCGATGAGAAGATGATCATTGGTAAGTGTTTTTATCTTAAAGAGAGTCGGTCATGGAAGATGAAAAAGATAATACATATGTTGTGATGGTTTTAACCTTTCTCTCGAAAGTGTTGAGGGGTATAGTAACCTTATAGTAAACTTAGTCTGGCGTTGTCGGATAAAGGATAATTATAACTATATGTTGGTTAACAGAGTGAATAGATGTGATTATCAGATTTTGAATTTCACTCTGGTCAATCTAATGGATTTGTCAGAAATCTTGTCTATATACTATGTTTGACATGAGGGCCTATACCCAAAGGATGTGGGTCAATGTGAAAACCTTGAGTGACGGAGAATTGGCAAATCTGTAGGTTATGTCGAGAGGAGGCTTCGAAGGTTTCAAAGGTATAACAAGTCCCCTGTTATTCAAGGGAATGTCATAAACTGGTTTGACTCGGAACTTGTTCAATATCGGGGGCATCTTGGCGCCAGTAGAGGAGTAGGAGCAACTCTTATGAGAACGAAAGAGATATTTTTGGAAGCATTGGTTCATTCGGAGGATTAAGGGCATATCCACATTTCGACACTTCGTTAGATTGGAGACTCCATCTTTCGGTTGGTTTCGGGACGTAAGAGAGACGTCTCGACACTTTTTGAACAGGTAGAGGATGTTACCCTGTTTGCCGTGATAGCTGCGGAAGCATTAGCAGACATTACAGTACAGTCGAACCATAGAAATAGGAATCACCTACTTGAGTGATGGACAATGAAGGCATCATCCGACCCTAATCAAACCCACAGTTTCTGCACATCATCACATGCCATCCAGAAATACCAACCCCAAAACAGCTATGCTGCCCACTTATACTGAAACAAGAGTTGCTTCGAAACTACTAACGCCAATGGATGCTCACCGAAGTAACACCCAACAAGCTATATACTAATGCTGCTAAATCATCCATGTCATTAAATACCAAATGCTTGATGTTAATGAGAATTGATCTTTATAACGGTAGATATTCTACAAATTGAGTTCTCAAAGTAAATTAGACACCAATCACGCTGTGAATGTGTATATCCTTTTCAATATAGTGATTGGAAATTTACACTCTACATGCAGTACGTGTATCCACAAAAAGTGGGTTGGGGGGGGGGATGAATGAAAATGGATATGTAATGCTCATCTTCTTTATGATAAGAAAATTATACATACCAATGACGATAGCCATCTTCTGAAACTAAACGGTAACATTTCAACGTTTCTGAGCATCTTATACAGAGTGGTTGTCGCCGTTTTACTCTTCAGCCAAAATGATGACTTATCAAATTCCATACCCGTGGAAGAACAATTGCAAGGTTCAGAACTCCAATTGCCAATCCTGCACAAACATACAAATTGTTACAATTTTCTGAATTTGACAACTGTGGTAAGAAGCACTTGCTATAGACAACAAATGACTTACGAACCTTGGCCACCACCAGAATCGGCAGTCAACTCTGCTGTAACAGAAAATGGAACACTATAGGTAATCTGCAAGAATAGAACAAATAAATGAGCAAAAATACAACATTTTTAAACAAACACTTGAGCATATAGAAATTTACTGCGAGTCATTTGAAACATACAGCTAGAGGAAAGCCAAGAAGTGCAAATATAATCAAAGCGGCAATCTTGATTGCTCCACTTCCTCCTAATACGTGTTCAATCCCTTGAGAATATTCTCTTACAGACACCAAACTAATGATAGCTGTAACACTCACACAGACAAAGACTGTATAGTTGCTCATCGCCCAAACAAGTCTCGACCCCATCTTTTGACACATTGGTTGAATAAAGAAAGAACCTATGGAAGATGAGCAGAATTTTTGTAGGACTTTATTTAATTATTGTAGTCTCTGCTAGAAGGGACCTATGGAAGATGAGCAGAATTTTTATCAAAATCCTAAAAATGAATTTCTTAAACAATAAGCATAAACACACGTGGATAAGTGAAGAACTCTACGTGTGCTATATTTACTTGAAGCAGGAGCATAATTGAACGGTTTATTAGCCGCCATATTTTCTAATAGTCTCTTAACATGTACCTTTGGTCGTTTGGATTTGACACGGTAGCAAATAGCTGCAATTGTTGTATTTTCTTGACCCTTCACGTTAATTGCGTCTTTTATTTTTTTCCGTCAATTTAATTTAAAGTTAAAAATAAAAAAAATAGACGTAATAAAAAATGGTAACTTCTTCCTAACATTTTTTTTAATAATCGAGAATATTTATTTTTCATAACATTTTCAATTCAACCGTAGATATTAGAAAAATATATATATATTTTAGGTTACGTCAATCAAAAATATTATACTTTCTTTAATATTTTCAGTTAAATTTATTACATATCGTTCCTCGACCTTAAATTAAGTTATCTTATCACAAAATTATGCGAATTTTTCGTTTGTCAAAGTTTTTAAAGTTCCAAAAAGTTATAAAATTTCATATCCTTTAATCGGTTTTCATTCTTTGATAGGATCATTAATTAATTTATGTGACCTATTAGAATTAAATTTATTATATGACAGGTCTATTTAGTTTGTTAATTTATAAATAATCATTGTTATTACAATAAATCTAACACCTAAAAACGGTAAATTATGCTTTTAATACCTAAATTATCAATTTTGATCTATTTAGTACCTAAACTTTAATTTTTTTAAACCATACCTAAATTTAATTTTTTGTTTCATTTTAATACCTCATTTAAAATTTAAAGTTAAATATTAAAAAATTGAAAATTTAGATATTAAAACGGTCCAAAACTATAATTTAGATACTATATACGTTAAGTTTTTAACGATGGGTCTAAAATAAAATAAAAACTTAACATTATATATGATTTTGAAAAAATTAAAAGTTTAGAATAAATACGTAGTTTATCCTATTAAAAACTTATATAAACCATCATACAAAGTTAGGAAAAAAGAATTAGACTCACAATTTCTCTCAACATATCTCAATATTGTTTTTTTCAAAGCGTCTATTCTTTATTTTCTTCACAAATTCAACAGCTACAGAACAAATAAATCATAATTAAATACTTTGAACACCAGCTAAAGCTTAAGCATTTTAACAATAAAGTAAATGATAGGTTATCCACATCAATCTCAAACTATAGTGGAATTCCATTTCCTCCGTAATCCATCCTGTCGTCCACTACATAGCAAGGGATTTGTGAATCGTAAGTGCAAATCCACTCGCATTTGATACGATACCCACCAAAGCATATATATTTTCAAACTTTCAAATGGATATTATACATGTACAGCTCTCTCCATTCCTTTTTAATGTCCTGTTTTCAGAAAATATATATATATATATGCATGTATGTATGCATGTATGCAAAGGTGCTTATCTACAATACCAAGACCTGTATGCATGTATTGCTATCAAAAAATTACTGATGAACACTGTGATTACCCAAGTCAGCTGCTGCTTTAGCTGCCCGTTCTAATGCACCCGACACCCAAAGAGCTCCCTGGGAAAGTAGCTGCTGCTGACTACAGTTTTTCCAGCGGCTGCAGCGGTTCTTCCTGCAGCAGAAATGGCGGATTTGGTGTTCTCTGATACATGGTATTTCTCATCCACAGATCTAACAGTGCCAACACCCGCACGAAGTTTATCTGTGAGGCCAATCCTCTCACTTAATTCAGCAACTTTAGCTGCAGCGGTTTCCGAAACTTGATGAGATTCATCAAAGGCTTTGGCTTTGCTTAAAGCATCTTTGCCTAACACATATCCATTGGCCAACATGGCTTTCACAGCATCCTGAGCGAATGAAACAGCTTCTCCAGCATGAGATACAAATTGGCTTCTCAGTGGAGGTTGCTACAAAAGGGGGCAAAAAAATGAGAAGATAGAATACCATTTACTAAAGTAAAATTTCCACAAGGATCAATTCAGGAGCACAAAAAAGATAAGTCACGTACCCATGAATTTGCTTCCTCTTCTTGGCTTCTTGAAGGGCCACTAAAATCAAACTCCTCTTCATATTGCCCCCAGCGAGATATGAATACGCGTTGATCAAGAAGTGTCGCACCCTAAAATGATAAGATATTTTAAGAGCAAAAATACAAACAGATTATACAATCATCGTGATGGAGTGGTAATCATAATTCATGAATTAGATTCATATTGAACACATATAGTAGCATAGGAAAAGTAATGGAACTAAATAGATAAATGAGATATACTTCATTCAAAAGTTTAATTGATGCTGTTATAGGTAAAAATGCCCAAAGATTGATATAACAAAAAAATACAGAAATAAAGAGATCAAAAGAGAGAACACATCAACAGGATAATTGTCAGTTTTAAAAAGAACACCATGATCATAACTGCAGGAAAAAACTGTACCTATATCAATCCAATATGAAGTTATGAACCCCCCAAATACAATTTCCTCAAAACATGAATGGACATATATTCTGAGTTCAAGGTAATACTCCCACTATTGAACCAAAGTAGAATACTTCTTCCCTTTTGGTATTATCACCTGTATCTGATATATTGGCCAACTAATCCAGATTGGGTATTGAAGAGACTCATTATAAGCGACCCTCTAAACCCAGTTTGTTCCATTCTCAATGCCAGGATTACAACTATTGAGTATTGACCGGGACCTAACGCCTCATCCTCCTATACCAACTTGTAGTTGGTAAAGTAGAATACTTCTTTTAATTGTTTATATTCACTTATTATCCATTTGCCATGTAATATCGATTTTTAAAACTACAATTATAAGTTCAATACTTTAAAACGCCTCCCATAAAGTGCTCATATATTCTCTTGAATTCACTTCATATATAATCAATTCAATAGTATCCATTTCATACACAATTAATCTACACCAGTCAGTCAAATAAAGTTAAACTTTACCTATACCAGAAAAGTGATGTCGGCAGCAATACATTTCATGATAAAATAGGTAGATTTATAGATGCAAAGATGAAAGCTGCCGTGAAGGCAAGAATCTAAAAGGCAATCTAAAGCTTCTGAATGAAATTATCGGAATGCATACACTAAGCAAGATGGCAGTCTCCTGAGAATAAGCATTCCCGAATGTCACATAGGCAGTACTCGCATATTCACCAGACCTGCTTTCATCCATAAAAACATCCAAATGAAAACATTCAAGAAGATGCAAATGGGAAGGATAAATATAACAACACGGTTAAATATGATTCAATAATCCAAGGACCTAACAATTTCAACATGTTCAATGGCACCAGAGAAGGCGAAAAAATCATAAACATCTTTCTCAGTAGCTTTGGGAGACAGGCCAGTCACTTCTACAGTATATCCAAAATCATTCATTTCTACAAGAAAGACAGCTGATCCAGGATTTCAACCTAGTCAAAAAGATCACCAAAATTGAGCTTTAAAACAAGACAATTGATTTCGTAAATAATTGAGGGAAAAAATCGAACCTGATGATATGAGAGATTGAGATTTCGAATGAGGAGGAAGAAAGGGGAAGCGCGTGGACTCGGGTTTTACTAATCAGAAGAATGAAGAAGCCGGTTTGGTGATTGCTTCAGTTTTGAAGGCGGTTTTTAGCCCCTTCTTACTTTCATATCTAATTTGGGTAGTTTTGGCCCCTTTTATTAGAATTAAAAAAGCGTAAATTACGTATTTAATATCTAACCTATCAGTTTTGATCTATTTTAACACTTAAATTTTCAATTTTTTTAAACCATACTTAATATTAGTTTTTTTTTCATTTTAGTACTTCGTCATTAAAATTTTAACAGGTGATTCGCACATGACACCTTTTATATGGAAAAATTACATCATTCATCACTCAACTATCTTCTAATTTCTATTTTGGTCACTAAAATTTACTTTTTAATTTAATTACTTAACTTTCAAATTACTCCTAGTTTAATAACTCTTACTTTCAAATTTATTTTTTATTGTTAATTATATATCAATAAAATAATTAGAAATGTCTTGTCATAAAAACTATTAATAAAATAAATTAGAGTGATTAAAATAGGAGCAATCTGAAAGTTGAGTGGTTAAATTGAAATTTTTTAAACTTTAATATCAAAATAGGAGTGAGAATATAGTTGAGATATTAATGATGTGATTTACCCATAAAAATATTGTGTCAGATTTTACCTTTTAACGACGAGGTACTAAAAAGAAACAAAAACTAAAAATTAAGTATGATTTAAAAAATTAAAAGTTTAGATATTAAAATAGACCAAAACTGATAGTTTATATAATAAACATGTAATTTACCTTAAAATAAAGAAAAAAAAAACTATTTTATATCATTGAAATTGAACTTTGTCCGTTGACTCGTGTACATCATTGAATTTAAATTTTAATAATTATAAAATTAAAATTTAGTTTTATATTTTTTTATTAAATTAAGGTGATTACAAAGTAATATTTATTTTAAATATTTTCTACCATTGGACAATGAACGCTCAATCACCTTACTGCAACTGCTCAAATCCATGAGCTTTAGAAATAACAACAATTTATTGTAACCACTGAGGTAAATTGGTTTATGCTACATTCAATTATATCAATTTATCATTAAATAAGTAAAAGAAGATGACATGACTAACAATTACTGACGTTACTTATCATACCCCAAACGACATCATTTTGATGTGATTGTTTTGATGTCTAAAATAACATCGTTTTGTAAACTAAACTTTATATGTGTATCAAATTTACCATAATTTGTAAATAATTTTCTTTTCTAAATTTTATATGTATTGATTTTTAGCATAATATTTATATAATTTTATTTTTTAATATTTTGTTTTTTGTTCGTCGTCGGCAATCAAACATTATCTTTCATCGATCATATTTTGCGATAAAATTAATATTAGAATATCCATATCTCATTCTTTTTTTTCTTTTTTAAAATTGATTTTTCATGAAATTCAATTTTAATCGAGGGATGAACATAGGTCCCGTTTGGTGTGACTTTTTAAAAGGACTTTTAGCTAAAAAGTCTGTTTTGATAGCAAAATCAATGTCAAACGGATAAAAAAAGGGAAAAAATTATGATGGAAACGGTAGGTTCAAACCAACCGTAAAAGCTAGAATTTATAGCCTTTTCATTTTAACTTTGTGTTTAGGAACAAATTATAATTTTACCCTTATTAATGCATGAGCTCCACTTACATTTTATTTTAATAATTTAATATTAACATCCTTAAAAAATAATTTATTACTTAATAATTTATTTTAATTATTTAAAAGTAAATAAAATTCATGGTTTATATATTGAAATATTAATAAAATATTTTATATCCATGTGTTAAAAAGTATTGATAATATATTTTTCTTAATAAATATTTTATTTATAAAAATGTTATTAATGAGTTATCTTAAAATATTTTTTTATATTTTTATTATAGTTTGAGTGATGTATTTTATATATCATAGTATTAATAAGTGTAAATATAATTTAAATTTTATATTTTTAATTTACAACATAATATTTAAAATGAACATTTTATCTTTTCAAACTCATTTTTTTACAATAATCTCAAACACTTAAATTTTAAACAACACATGTAAAAATTATTTTCTGTCGTACTTTTAAAAATCACTTTTCAAAAACCCGACAAATTGGTCCATAATCTTACCCTTACCAACCCTTAAATAGAAAAGGCACCTTGGGCCTTTCAAATAAAGCAAGTCACAATTGTGTAGGAAAAGAAGAATGTTGAGTGAAGCCCACCTTAACAGATAGAGAGGACATCCTTAACTGAAGTGCCCTAAAACAAAAACAGCAAACACCCTTTCACAATTTAGAGAAAATTACAAAACTCATCCCTCAAATTTGTTGTTTGCACAGACAACATTAATTGTGTTCAATGGTACACCTACAATGTTATCCCAACTCTTTACCACACCCTTACAGAAAGTTTACACCCAATACGAAACTCTAGAGGAAGGAAAAGAAGTATTCTTGATGAGTTTAAAACTCATGACCTAAAAAAATATAAAATAATAAAGAGATGAACAGTTTAGCCTTAACTGAGCATACGTGCCAACATCTGCTCTGCTCCCTCTTTGAAGAATTCAAACAAAATAACTTATATAAAGGAAACAAAATAACTCTCAACTATTTGATTTTGAACGCTCACACCCTGACATTCTTCGTGCTTGAATATGGGACCTCAAGGAATAACAACAATTCTTTTACCATTGAAGTTGCTTGGTTCATGTGCCCCTAGAATTCTATAAATTCAAGTTCACCCGATAACTAGATTTTAACAAGTTTAAGTTCGATCCTGATAAAAAATCATGTGTCTTCTTGTAATCAGTCATCCATTAACATTTAATACCAACTTAATTCGAAACTTTGACCACTATTACCCTCCTCACCATCAATAAACCAACCATATTCTTCATGGAAACAAAAGCATTGAATGTGCTCAATTATTATATCAATATATGAGAATAATATACAAAGTCTGCTGATGACAAGAATCATATCCTTGTTGTCTGCATTACTACTACTGATGAAACATCATCAAACCCTTAGATATGGAAATACTTAATAAATTAAAAAAATAAAAAACGAAAGGTGCTGTATTATTACATAAGTAAGCTTCTGATAATGGGGATATATGCAAAGAAGACCCATGAAAAATGGGAATGGAATGTTATAAAGAAGACGGGAATTGAAGCTGAGAGCCTGAGAAGAAGAGTTAACCCAGGAGAAGGAGAGAAGAGAAGTGCGTGGAAGAACACCGTGGGTTATGATGGTGTGGCACCCTACTGGATCAACTGATTGTTGATAAAATTCCTCTTTTTACCATTATTTCCATGTAATTTTTTAATAAAATGATTTTATATAACTATTATATGTAAATAATGAAATCTTTTATTTTTATATTGTTTAAATTTAAATATTACTAAACTATAGTACAAACCAACCGACTTCGTCAATGATTAAGAGATTTGTTATTATTTTTTAAGACCCAAATTTAAAAACCATATATAATATATGAACATTTAAATAATTGACAGTATTTGAATACATACTACCTTATATTCACCCTAAATTTATAAAAAAAAAATTACTAAAAATGTGAAAGAGAGTGATGTATTAAGTAATACTAAAATTTCAAAATGATAATTAAAGATAAAAAGTACTATTTGTTAAAATACCATCTTACCCTTATCCTGATTTTTATTAGATATTTTATATTCAGATATTCCATATTTAGATTTTCAGAGACCTTTCAGAGTATATCTTAAATCATCTTTAACGCGTATGTACTGTTATGGGCCTTATTATATATTCAGTCGCAACTCTTTTAAAACTCCGTATTTTGTATTATGTAACGGATGTATTTCGAAAGCACCTCATTATTTGTAATCCCATATTATTATTATGTTTTTGTATTACTTTATGGATGTCTAAATTTCAGAGATTTACAAGTCATTTTAAAAGAAAATTTTTGGGTCACTATTTCGATAGTCCCGTATAACATTATAATTCATGGATCTTCGGATCTAATTGGACTAGGGTGTTGCAGAATTAGTCCATCTCTAACTTTTAATGGTTAAGATACCCTTAACTAAATAAAAAAATATTCATTTAAACTATTTATTATTCCTAGATTCTAAAAAGTTCAATAAAATAGAAATACTACATAAAAATTAAGCTAGTTTTAGTTCATGCAAATTCACACATCAACTTAATTTTTACAAGCTTAACCATGTTGTGAAACATAAATCCCTCATTGTATTCTTGTAGGTGCCTGATGGTGACACAACTTCACTAGGTCAACAACAATTATTATTTCTCACAACGCCATGCTCTCGGCACAAGATCAATTAAAAGCAAAACCAAAGGAATTCAGGTCAAGATACATTTTCTTTCATTCTTTTCGAACCAGCTAGGTGCAAAGTATACAACACTTTTCTGGTCAACAAATTTCTACCAGAATTGGTACCTGTAATGCTGTCTCTGACTTTATTCAATAGCAAGGTCTTGGCCATTTCCTTTTCCGATCCACCTGTTGTTTAGACGTTCAAGGGAAGCATTTCATTCGCTGCAACGGCACAGTATTAGTTGAATCTTACCGACAGAAAATTAAATGGTACTGATTTTAATTACAAAGCAATGAGGACTCCTAAACACCTCACCTGTCGTTCAATTTCGACAGCAGATGCAGCAAGCCTTCGCTTCAAGATACCCCTTTCCTTTTGGCAGCTCTCCAACTCGGTATCTAAAATCAATTAGAATAACAGCAAGATTAAAAATGTGTAACGACAGAATTTCAAAATCAATGATATTCTCGTTTCCATGTCAAGCTTGAGCAGATATAACACTATGAGCAGGCTACGTTAACTTGTAGCAACATTCTCCATTGGCAAGTTGTATTCGAGTCTTTTCTTTTGTTTTTATAAGTAAAGCTTTATTAATCTGATTAGGAACTAGTCGGTACTTAAAACCTGCCTGCCCTGCTTCCCATGTAATCGAGAATTCTTTTCTTGGTAAACAAAATACCATAGGATTTCCAATCCAATTTGAGGATAATGACCTCAGGGATTTGCTCTTAATATTCTCAGTCAGCCATGCTAATTCAACCTTCCAGATTTGGAGATTAAGGACTTTCTCACAAGCTGGATCCACAAATTAGACACTCAATAGGAGTAGAGAGACCCCAACCTTGATGTTTGCTTCAAGTAGGCAATCTGCCTAGAAGTGCAAGCCAAGAAAAAAAAGTCTTGTGGAACATTAAACCAACTTATCAGTTTATGTTAATCATTAGAATTGACAACTAAGTATTAACACATGCAGTTGTAATGAGTCAGCTTGTTGTAAATTGGTTATGCCGTTAGTAGCAGTTAGCTGATTACAGTTTACAGCTGAAGCTGCTTGATATATATACACAATTAAGTACATTGGAATAGAGCAAATCAACCAGATTCATCAATAGCTTTGCATCTTTAATACTTTCTCTTGTTTCTTGTCCTTTCCTGAGAAATTTACAAACTTTCTTACATTTTATGCCAAATTACTTTCTTCTGCTTGTGCTGCCAAGTGTTCCACATTGCTGCTAAATTCTAGTGGGTTACATTCCAGCACCCTTCTAGTCTTGTCCCCTGTATAGTTATGGGGAAGGAACACTTCCAATTTCTAAATACCCTTAAAGACAAACTGCATCCTTGCTTGGAGGAATACCCAAGATGCTTCTCCCTTTTAAATTATACTTTTCTACCCATGTTACAAATAGAAAGCCTGCTAAGGAGACGATGTATATATTCCCAATAAACAGATCTTATCCCAAATCTAAAAATTCCTCAGTTCTAGGCCTCCCTCAGTCTTTTGAATGGCATATAACTTCCCAGGTCATTCTACGTTATGATTTATTGTAATAGATAATTCAACTCATCAAAGGAAGACTAAAATATTATGACTCGTTAGAGAAAGGCCTATATCTCTCTAAGATTTTTTAATAGAAATTTTAAGATTTTATTATTTGATAAGACCATTTAACTAAGGACCAGCCTTATTTCATTAATAGAAACCTACTCATTGGGGGTTCTCTTATAGGCTATGACCAAACTTCCTCGACCAACTTCAAACAATCGGGTTGATCAACCAGGGCTTGGGAGGAGAGAACTCTTCAGACTTGAGTAAACTCGAACAATAATCTAACATACCAAGGATTAGAAAAGAAACTTTGGAGGTTGGGAATGCCTCATACCAACTGGGGTTGGCTAGCACTCTATCCAACTTTCTGGGAAGTGTTCCTTCCAACCTTTGGTTACAACATGGAAAGAAGGAACAAGAATGACGATGGTCAATGAAGCCTAGCTAAGAAAGATACTAGTTAACCTTCAGATCTTGTTACACAAACTACAAGGTCTAAAGAGTGAACCTTCGCTACAAAAGTAAGGTTACACGATTGTTACACAAACCAAAAAGTCTAACCAGGAGAGTAAAACTCGATGCATAACTGAGGTTACAGGATTGTGATCCTAGAAGTGACAGACTCAGGTTGTGAGACAACCTCTAATAACTGGAAATTCCAAATCCAACAATGTGAGAGCCTCATGCATTGAGAGGCTTTTCTTTTTACAGAATTTTTGACCTGGTATGGGAAGTTTGGAACCCTATTTATCATGTGAAACTCATAAAATTTTGCATTCAAGAACTCAAGCCATGCATGCTATGAATTGTTTTGAGACCTGCAAGTTGATTGGTTTGATCCAGGTAATAAAGTTACTTCTAGAATCCACATACTCTAGTTTGAAAATGAAAGTTTCACATGGTAGATACAAAGAATAACTAGGTTAAGCAATTTCCTAGTGTTATGATTCTTCTAGGTGTAGGCAAACATTAATATTTAATGATAATGAATCTTCTAGCAATATACCCTTAGATCCCAAGCAGGGGCAGAGGGAGTCCTGGGCCTACCTAGGCCATGGCCCCCAATGCCAAGAGGAAAAAATAATTATATAATTTTTAAAATTTTCAATTATATTTTCACTTAATCAAAATTAAACTAATTATAGTCTTATTTAATTTCAAATTTAACTATAATTTTTTCTCTTCATAATCTTAAACTAAGAGCTACCTTCTTATAACGTATATATTGTGATGCTCTTTCTTTCTTATTTATTTATATTCATTATGTGCTGTTTAAATTCAAAGAATTCTTTTTAAAGCCTGAAGGTAATTGAATATTTTAACTGAAATTTTAAGTTTTGATGTTTTCTGTAAATTTTTATTACTTTTTCTGAATTTTCATACTTTATTATTATTTTGTTCATTAATTACTTATGAACTTGTGGTGTTATTAGAGTTTAGTTTAGCAATTTTTCAACATCACCTACAAGATTATAATAAAAAATTAAAAGGTATTCCTCATATGTTATTTTACTCGATCAAAATTATTCAATATTTCTTTGTGTCGATCATAGATGATTTTGGTTTTATGAAAAAAAGAGTTATCTTAATCGATGAAAATATTATATTTAGAACCATGTATTTTTTACATAAATTTAAAAGTTCTTTTAGAACATGTATTATACTAATTTTAGTTGTTATTAAATTTTTATATTGAAAGATTATATATATGAGTAATATTAGATAAAAAATTTATTATATTTATATTGGCCCAGTCAATAACATTTTTCTGGATTCGCCACTTATCTCAAGGATTACTACTCATTAAACTAGTAATATTAAAATGCATCAGCTGAGTATTTCGTAAGAAGGTGAAAAGTAAACTATTTTGGATGTGAATTTAAATTCTATATGGATGGATGAGGTGAAAAACTCATTGTGTAGGCCATCCAATTATGCCAGTCACAGTATAGCCGTCATCCAAGGTAGTTTTTCCTTTTGGCTAGTGTTAATCAAGGCGGTTCTTTGTTCACTTCCTACATATTATCTTTCCATATTTAAAATTCCAGCTTCGGTTCTAAAAACCCTTAACTCTATCATGTCAAATTTCCTATGGGGAGGGGGAACTGGCATTAGAAAAATCCACTGGGTTAGCTGGTCCAATGTTTGCAAGCCGAAGAGTGAAGGGGGCTTAGGAGTTCTTAATCTCAACTTGATGAATAGAGCGCTTTTAGGGAAATGGACTTGGAGGTTTGCCAATGATAGGGACGCAGTTTGGAGGGAAGTTGTTTGTGCCAAATATAGACTCGATTCTTCAGTTTTAACTCTTGACAGTAAGGTACCTCCTAAAATATCCTGGATTTGGAGATCATTGCTTAATAATTATTTTAAAGAAGACTTCTTTGGCACTAAATTTAGAAGCATGTGTAGTTTTCATGTTGGTGATGGTAAAAATATTCGGTTTTGGCAAGATATTTGGGCTGTGGATTATCCACTTGTTGTCATTTTCCCAAGACTATTTATTATTTCCTTAAATCAGTTTGGGAAATTATCTGAATTCGGTGAGTATATCTCTTCCGTTTGGACTTGGGATGTTAAATTTAGAAGAACTCTTCATGACTGGGAACTTGAACGATGGTCTAACTTGCTGGCTATCATTTCGAATTTTTCGCTCTCTTCGGATTTTCCTGATCGTGTGCTTTGGAAAGGGGCTGGAGATGGGGTTTTTACTATTAGATCAGCTGTTAATCTATGTTCATCGGAGACTTTGGGATTGGATGAGGTACTTTTCTGGAAGAAGTTTATTTGGAGAGGCCTACTGCCTCCAAGAGTAGAGTGTTTTCTTTGGCAGATCGCTCATGGGAAGCTGGCTGTTAGGACTGAACTTGTCAAAAGAGGTGTTCAGGGAATTGAAGATGTATTATGTCCCCTATGCAAGATGTCGGATGAGTCTCCCTCTCATTTGTTTTTCTCTTGTTCGTTGGTGTGGTCCCTTTGGAATAAGTTTTTAAGTTATTGGAGGATTTGTTCTGTTTTACCAGCGGATGCTAAAAGTTTCTTTCTAGCTTGGGATGGATTAAAGTCAAACTCTTTGATGTGGCCTTTTATTCCAGGGGTCATTCTTTGGACCACTTGGAAAATGAGGAATTTCGTGGTGTTTGAAGGGGGAAAGTTTGATAAGGCAGAATTCTTCTTTTTAGCTAGATTTAGGCTTGCTTCTTGGTTCTTAGAAAAGTATAAAGAAGTTCCTATCCCTAAGGACTCACTCATTTCCGATCCTTCTCTTGGGGACTTAGTTTCTATAAACTCGAGTAAGATTACTTCCTCTTTGCCTTGGTCTCCTCCTCCGTTAGGTTTGTTAAATTAAATGTTGATGTTGCCACTACATGGGATTGGAAGAAAAGCGGACTAGGAGGTGTTTTAAAAGATTCATCAGGTTCTACTATAGCCTATTTCAAGGAAACTGCTGGTCCGGGACCTCCTACGTTGATGGAGTTAAAGGCTATTCTTATGGGGTTGTCTTTCTTTGCATCCCATCGAGAGAGGATCAAGGACCGTCTTATTATAGAGAGTGATAGTAAGGTCGCTGTGGATTGGATAAAGGGGGTTGAATTATGTCCTGTTGTATATGCCTTCTTGATTAAAGATATTGTTCATAGGCTTAAGGCCTTTGAAGGTGTTGTTAGATGGGTTAATAGGACAGCCAATTTAGAGGCTGATGCCTTAGCTAAAGAAGGCATAGGCTGAGTTAGTTAAGTTGTTGATGGTTGTTTAGAGTTGTTTCTTCTTTTTCTGTGTTTTGTTAGGGGGTTACTATTGTTGTTTTCGCTGTTTCTGTGTTTTTAGTTTGGATGTTTTATGGGTGTTTTCAGCTTATTTGGTTTTGTTGGGGTGTTTTCTTGGTTGTATTTTGTGTGGATCTTATGTAATTTTCTGTTTCAATAAAATCCCAAGGCACTCTTTTCCTCCTTCCGCTGATTAAGGAGCTTCCCTACAAACTCCATTAATCAAGAAGGGGTTTTTTAATGAGGCCTGAAATTCTTATAAAAAAAAAGTCCATTACACTACAAGCCTTTTCAATATTCACTTTAGCTTTAACCCTCAAATGGAACCATGCTGATCTCTCGAGAATCTATCTTTTCTCACTAACAAAAAGGTCCAAGAACTTTGTTCTTAGTTATTTCGAGAAGTCCCACAACTTTCTCTGTTTCTCTAGAACCAATCTCAGAAATTAGCATTCAAATATTGTTTCTTCCTGAAGCATGTGATTGTGCTTTCTTTAGCTAATAAAAGGATCAATGGGAGAAAGATAATGGATTGGTAGTAGAAGATCCCATAATGGATTATCTTATGCTACAATATTATTTTGTAAATTGCAGATGTTTGGTTCCTTCCAAGTGCAAGGTAACAACTGGTTGGAGTAATAATAGATTTCAGACCTAGCCAAAGTATATAAAGGGGAAATAACAAACCGAGCTTAGTGATTTTGTTGCAGATTAGTGAGCCTAATAACTTGTCAATGCTGTAAACAGAATTAAAACTGTACATTTTTAAAAACAGACAGATAACTGTACCATATCACCTGTTTGACAATATCCTGGAAAGCTAAAGTGCTCAAACTTTTTAATGCAATATAGTGATCAAAATTTTTCTAAAAAATTATATCACTTGCTTGACAATATCCTGTAAAACTAAAGTTCTAATATTTTCCGAATGCAATAGTGATTAAATTTTTTGTCCATGGATTAGTTTATGTTACTGTAAGGAATGACTGCATGGAAATAATGCAGCAATGAGTAAAAGCATGAATGTATCATAAACTAATCAGCCACAAAATGCCAAAAAGAGGCTATTTAATTCTCACCATAATAGTAGGATGAATGAATTGTGATGCGCTCCATAGGCTGGAAAAGATAAAAATAAATAAATTATATTTCACAGCAGATAACATGGACTAAAATCAGCCACAAATTGAAATAAGCATTGCTTGCATTCTAAATTCATATCAGACTAGTTGGATAGAGGATTATAGCAAAGGTAAAACTTTTAAGACATAATTTACGGGTACATGTACAAAGGAATAACAAAGACAGATACATAACAGGTTTTTGTGTATGCGTGCAGCGTGCTGAATAAGAAGATTATAACTGATCACCAAACTAGCTACATAAGCTCTATACATCAAGGTGAGAGTCATATAAGTATGTAACCGCCAGTTCCTGATTTAAACAGTACTTTTCTCATGTTAGTGTCTCCCCTCTTGCTTTATCTTTTTGTTTTCCCCCTTTAATGGATTATTTGAAAATAAAAAGAGGCAAATTCCCACTTTACGAGAATGAAAGAAACGGTTCCATAAAGGTGAAACAAGGATAGCTAACCATCAAGGAAACTAATGGATCAACCCTGGAAAGACATCCTGAATTTCCTATTGCATTACAAACGAAAACAGAAAGTGAGTCATATTTATACCATTACAAAGATCCCCTCACGACGGGTAGGAAGTTCCTCGAGCTTTCTCAAAGTCTCATCACCTTTCGTAACCTTACCAAATATTGCATACTGAAAAGATAGACAGAAAAAAGTATGTAATATTGAGGCTATATGTCATATAAGATTCAGAAATAATCATTGCAATGATGATCAGCAATTATGACTGGAATACCTGCCCATCAAGATGAGGGGCATCTCCAAGAAGTATTGAAAATGAAGACTGTGCACTGTCCGGATCAGAATATCTACGCCAGAGCAGAACTCGGTGACATATAAATACGTAGAAAATCGTATAAAATTAAATTAAACATGAACATTGAAACTAGTAAGGTCATTTTACCTCCCCATAGAAAGAATACCTCTCACGTGTTTCACATCACTAAATTCCCCAACAATCGTTTTTTCAGCTTCCCTTCTTTGCTCCTCATTCATGGGAGCTGATCGTCCACCTGCAACATCGGCCACTTGGGCAACAAAACCCTTATCAACCTACAACAATTCAAAATTAATAATATCATCCACACCCGCATCTTAAAATCACATTAATTAACTGACTTAGCAACCAAATTCCAAAACCCAAACTTTTTTTTTGGTTTAAAGTTTTAACACTTACTCTGAAGAAGTGATTGGTGTTATAGCAACCAAGACGCACAAGCTTAAAAATGTGATCAACAGTTTTGGGTGCAACACTTGGGTAAAATCCAAATTCAATATCTCCATAATTTGTCTGCATTTTACAACGAATAATTCTTCAAAAAAGCATCAACCCAACTCACAAATTAGATACATTTCAACTACTGGCATCAACAACAACAAAAAATCAACAAAGAAAGAACCTGGAAAACAACTCGAGGAGAGCTGAGCTGGGGTTCTTCAGAAAAAGAACCAACACTAACAATTCCAAACACTAAACAGACCCAGCAAAAGATCTTCATCTCTTCTTCTTCTCTAAGTCTTTAGATTCTTGGCGCTTGATCTAAATTTCAGTTTGTCAACTCCCAAAATGCATCTGTCTAGAAGGGAAACAATAAAGTGAGTCGGGTCGGGTCGAGTCTCATAGTGATGGACAGGTCGTAGTGAATGGTCGGTCCAATTTGCTTTTGCTTAAAAGATCCCAAAGGGCCCAAATGGGTGAGTTGTCGTGGCCCAATTGCTTAAAAGATAAAATCAATTTTATTTTTCTTTTATGACATTAATGCGATAATTAACGATGATGATGTAGTTCATAATAAAGGCATGGTCGTTTATTATACTAACATGACAGTTCATGATCTTAATATAATTTATGATATTAATGTGACAGTTCACATATAAATAATGACGTGGTAGGAGGATTTACTTAATTTTTCGATCAAGTTTGAAGGCATAATTATTTTTTTACTAAGATCAATAATATGATTAATTTTAATTTTAATTGAAATTTTGATAATTTATTTATTTATTAAATAATTTAAAAATATTAAAATTTATAAAAAAAATAAAAATAAAATATTCAATAAAAATATTAATAACAAAAAAATTATAGAATTAAGTAGTGATTACAATATAGTATTTGTTATAAAGATTTTCAAAAATTCTATTTTAATGGAAAATGATGAAAAATTAGAACATATAAATAGTCGGGTGATTATTTTTCGTTAAAAAATTAGAGGTCATCTGAGATGGACGTTAACATCATGACTGGGATATGATAGTCATTTGAGATTATAGAATCATATTTTATCATATCATAGTTAGCAGGTTGACGTTAAGCTCAGACTATCGTCAATTTTTTAACGAAAAATGATGTGTTTAGAACATATAAATAGGTGATCATTTACCATTTATTTAATAGTCGAGGGACACAACAAAATATATAAATGTACGAATAAAATCCCTACAATTACATGGTGACATGTATATTGTTTTTTTCAAATCATATTGTTCGTGACAAATATCATCATCTGAGCAGAAGAAAAAAATAATCAAATTGAATAAATTTAAATGATAAAAAAAACCTCCAATTAAACGGTGACATGTGTCGTCATTTGATTGGAGGATTAAATTAAAATTAAGACCAAATTGATATAATGTACAAATATCGAGGATCAAATATGTAATTATATCGATTTTTTTAACCGCGACATCATCACTTCTGTTAAAGTCTAACGGCAAGTGACTTGATTGAATATAATTAAATAGTTAATTGGTCTGATTGACAAATTTAAAAGATCGATAGTAAAAACAAAACGGGTAAACAGTTAAGAAATCACTGGTATAGTTTACCTACTGTTAAAATATAACAAATCAATAAGTTAGTTGCAGTTCCACTTAAGCAATGGGAAGAGGCACTAGATCCCTTAAGTAAAGTCAGATGTTCGAAATTTGACGTTTGTGAATAGAGCAAACTGGGTTGGGAGGGTTGCCCTCGTCTCTACAGTACTCGATTTGGATTAGTCAATCAATAGATTAGATACCAATAATTAATTCAAAATAAATTACTAACTTTGGTGCTTAAAATAATGGAATTGTAATACGAGAACATGTCTTCGTCAACTATAAAGAACACAAGGCTATTAATGAAGACAAAAGGTATCCTACTGTCTTTCCAGTTCCCAGAATAAAGCAGCAAATGGAGTTTTTTCTCAGGAAGTTTCCTTCTTTCACGTTCATGCATGCTTTAATGAAAGAGATAAAACCAGAGAATCCTATCCAGTTTTTTCTTAGCATAGGATTGGATTGAATGGGGAAGGCGGCCTTAATATACGATTAAGGAAATGTGTTATCGGTTTTGTTATTATTTTTTAATATTTCTGATAAAAAATTATCTAAAACATTATTATTTTTACCAGTTTTATTATTATTAGGCGTTTTATCGGTTTTGTTAACATATCTGATAAAACACTACCTAAAATATTATTTTTTTCTACTGATTTTGTTATTAAAGGGTGCTTTACTGAAAATATTAAAAACCCATTAATATTTTATGTAAAAATAATAATATTTTAGATAATTTTTTATTAAAAATATTAAATAATAATAATAAAACCAATAACGACTTTGTTTAACTGTGTGTTAAGATTCCCTCACGGTAAACTCCCTTTAGTGGATGCAATTGAATGCCTCTACTTTATAAAGATGACATTTCACAAAGCTACCAATGAGCTATGGACCAGTACGCATGTTGTTGGCATCTCCTTAGGCTATGAGAGCTGCCAAAAAAAAGTAACCAAAGAAAAAGTGCCCCTTGTTTAAGGGTTCTGTTCGATTTATTTGCTGCACCACAAGGATTCGAGTAACAGAGACGGACACATAATTTTCTGTTAGATCGGTGAATTTGAATTTATAAAATTATAAAGGGATGAATTTGTACTTATAAAATTTTAGAGATAAAAAAAATATTTTCAATAAAAAATACAAACATGGTAAATTAATATTTTGAATTGATGTAGAATAATTCATCTTACTTTAGAACATGGTAAATTAATATTTTTTTCCTTATAAATTTATTTTAAAATTAAACTTATAAAAGTAAAATTACCCAATTTTATAATATTGGGATGAATTTAATTTTCCCGTAGGACCTAAATGTTTGTATTTAGATTCTAGAGGCCATATTGAATAGGTGATTTTACCAAACTGACATCCTTTAATCGATTATCTCCCATTATAGCACCCTTTCACCTATATTTCCCGAAATAGCACCTTTGTGTTGAGATGGCGGAAGGCGCATCCACAGGGACGCGCTTTCCATGAATTTATGTGACTCAGGTGACACGTGTGAAAGGCGCATCCCCGGGGACGCGCCTTTCATTAAATGACTTTAATGCCCATTCGATTTTTCCCCAACTACCCCTCCTCCTCCCCCTATATAAACCCCCTCATTCTTCACACCAAAATCATTTTCTTCTCTCTTATATAATTCAAATTCTTCAAATCTTTGAGTTTTAAATTTCTTATTAGTGGTAAGAAATTTATTTTTAAGATAGTATTTTTTTACATAGTTATTATATTTTATATTAATATAATTATATAAATATTTTTTCATTAAAATAATATTTATATAAATTATTATTTATTTAAATTTATTAATTAATTATTTTTTGTGCTAATTATTTTTTTGTCTACAGTTATAATCGAAAGTGAAATGCTGCTGCAATTGGATGCTGACCATATCTCCAGACATTTTAGCGATATTATCATCAATAATTATTTACTATAATTTCTCAATTTATAATAATAATAACAGATTAAATGTGTAATTATACTAATTTTATTAACTTAGGCATCAATATTTGGTTAAATAATAATAACAGATGACTAGATTGATAATATTTAAATAATTAAGTGATAAAATTAATAGATTGATAATCAAAATAAAAAAATAATATAATCATACGTGTAATATAATAATTTTATACATTTTTCATATAACTATACTAAAATAAAAATTAGTTTTCATCTATTGTTCTATCCGATTAATGTGGATAATACACTCCACCTTTAACACACATTAAAAAAATTCATTCAATAATTATTAAATTATAGCCGAAACAATTTACATAATATATTACTAATTTATAATAATAATAAAAATAAAAATTTTATTATTAAAAACATACCACCGTGTCACCTGAGTCAGCAAAACCCCATGAAGGCGCGTCCCTGGGTATGCGCCTTTCACACGTGTCACCTGAGTCGGCATAAATTCATGGAAAGCGCGTCCCCGGGATGCGCCTTCCGCCACCTCAGCACAAAGGGTGCTATTTCAAAAAAATATAAGTGAAAGGGTGCTATAATAGGAGATAATCGGTTAAAGTGTGTCAGTTTGGTCAAATCGCCTATTAAATAAGAAAATGACATCATTATATTGCCAAACCCAACCCTCCCACTTTCTATCCAAGAATTTCCCATACCTAATGTAATTTATCTTTTAAAAATTTGGCAATATTATTTCAAGTTGAACTAGCTTTGAAGATGCTAGTTTTTTAGGATTTTAAATTCTTTTAAAATTTTAATTTTGCCTCTATTTTTTTTCTGATTAAGGTGGCTCTTAAATTAAGAAAAAAATTAATTTAACTCGTTGACTAATTATATTGAATATTAGTTATTATAATATATGTTGACGTGACAGCCCATATAATATGCTTAAGGGGTTAGATTGATTTTTTTAGAAAATTAAAGGATAGATATAATGTTTTTAAAAAAATAAAATTTAAATATGAAAATACTCAAATAATTAAAATATAAATATAGAAATATTAAAAATAAAAAATAAATTAAAATTATTAAATAAATATTATCTTGTAATCATCGGAGATATATTTATATTGTTACATAAAGGAGTTGTTATAGTCCCCAAACCCGTGAAGAAAAACAATACATTTAATTTATATATAAAATTTAAATATTTACGAGATAATTATATATTGTCCCACTCACTTTTAAAAAACTTACATTTTGTCCCTTCCGAGCTGAGATCCTTGTTTCGTCCTATAACCAGCCTAGATTATTCAATTTTAAAAAATAAAATAAAAATATTTCATAAATTATAAAATGATAATCTATTAATTATTTAAATATATAAATGTAACATATAGTCACGGATAAATTTTCAAATTAACAAAGTCAATATATTTTAATTCTATATACTTTCAATCATCACTATATATATGTGATATACTTTTTGATCATACATGTAGGCAGGACGGTAGATGAGCCTTAATAGGAGGGACCCTGGCCATGGCCCAAAATTTAATCAATATATAATTAAAAAATATTTACGTGATATATTTTAATTATTTTTTAATTATTACGTAATTATTCTTTTATTTTTTTTTAAAAAAGATGGAGATGTATGAAATTAAACTCTGATCCTTTTCTCTTAGAAGAGGGTTATGCTTGTTTTGTACGAGTAGTTGAGTGTTTAATGAATTTCTTAATATTTTTTATTTCAAATTATTGTATTTATTAGATAGTTTATTAAACATAATTAAAAATAAAATTTATAAGTAAATTAATTTATTTTTCTTACTCTTTAATAATAATTTTATGAATAGAATAATTTGCGCACAGGAATAAATTTCTAATGTTGAGCTCACAAGTTTAGTGTCACACTAATAACTATATTATACTACACGCGTTCATCATATGAGCGTGCTAGTAGCTATAGACATAAGTATACAAGAATAATAAACAGTTAAACACATATGCTGAGGTAGGCATCAAAGTATGGTTGGAGAGTTTGCTACATCTCAGGACTCACACAGCTCTAGCATACCTATGGTACCCTCAGATACTTAGGGTGAGATCTCGAATTCCTGCATCGAAAATGTACACCCTACTAACTTACTCCTCATGAGCACTCAGGGCGTCTGCGACCACCTAACAACTGAAGTGTCTTGGCACTAGCTGGTATATATCTAGATATTCTAATCAAACAAGATGATTGTCATACTTGTTAAAGTAATTCGGTTGTCCTTGTTATTTTCCAATTGTCATACAAGGGTTTAAGTTCTATGACATCTTACTTTATAATATTCTTAAACTAAAATTGGTTTTCTTACCCAATTTAGTGTGATAGTACCAATACTAAGCCTCTTATTATTATCAGTACTCACCCTTGACATCGATACCAATTTTGCATTTTGTGATATAATAAGACCTTACAATATCGATACTTCTCTATTAGGGTATCAATACCAATTTGAGATTCGATGTTTGAGAAAATAAATATGTATCAGTACCCTTACTTAAGGCATCGATGCTTATTCTTTGAGTAGTATTGATACTCCCTAAATATCGATGTCAAATATGATTATTGGAATTTATAATTTAATGATGGTACCGATACCCCGTCCTTGGGTATAGATACCAAAGAACAATATTGATACTCTATGAATAGAGTATCGATACTATATAGCTAGAAACCCCTTGTTTCGACTATATAAAGAATAATATCGGTATTGATCATCAAGTACCGAGACTCAAACATAAAATTTCTTTGTTTTACCTGAAAATGACACCCCAACTTCATCCTTAAGCCTCCATAAGGCCCCTCAAACGTTATTTAAGTCTCATGTAAGTCAAAAGGGGTCATGATAGATAAATTTACATGTTGTATAACATCACACACCACAATCCACCATGGATGCACTTACATGCTCTATAAGCGCGTACAAATTAACCAAGTATATACAATGATTTACAAGTGGTATAGGTAAGTTAGAAGTGTGTTACCTTTATCTTAAATTGTTGGAACAACTCAAGGTTCAACAAAAGTGCTAGCTTTTCCATGCCTTTGCTATTGGAACTTTCTCTAACTTCTTTCACTTATCAAAGACAAGTAACAGAGTTACTAACTTACTTGGGAACCTAAAACGAAGTTAAAAATGTTCGTTAAGGCTCAAAACTATATAAAAAAACACACAAACAGGTTTAGCAAGGGTTTCTAGAACCACACCAATGGTCACCATGGTCAAATCTTGATATTGAGAGCTTGAATAAAAGCCCTAGGGGAGAAAACTATGATTCTTACCTTCAGTATTTCGAACTAAGCTTGCAAGGCGACAAGGTTACTTCCTTTTCTCTAAGTTCCGAGGAAGAAGAAAAGATATTTTGAAATTAGGAGTCAATCCAAAACTACTAACCCGAGATTTAGGACGTTACAATACGATAATATGAACATCTTCAATCACATAGTCTATTAATGGATCTCAAATATGTAAATATTGTTATTTGAAGATTTAAAAGATTATAAATAATTTATTGATACAAGGGGAAAATAATATATAAAATGTTACCTTTTATGTTTTATTTATTTATTTGGAGAAAAATAAGTTTTTGTTTGTTTAGCGAGCATTTTTTTTTTTGCTGGTGGCCCCAAGGCAGCATAAAGTGAAGTGGGAGCTAAAAGTTTAGTGGTCACTATTCGGGGATTAAAATACCTTTTCATGCCTAAACAATAATGACCTGTGATTTATGTCCATCTTCCACTAATTGCAACAGCTAGATAATATTCACCTATATCGTAATGACTTTAGCAAGGGCTCAATATATATATATATATATATATTGAAAACAAATATAACTTAATATAATGAGTGGAACTCATCACGTGATTTCATTAATGGTAAAGATATGTTCATCTCATAGAGATTTTGAGTTTAAGTAGAGACGTCTATATGATGTGTGTTAAGAAAATTTTGAATATATTATTTTGTAATCATATTTAGGGATGGTAACGGGTCGAGTTAGGGTCGGTTTTTGGCTGACTCAGCTCGACCCAGAAAATATGCACTCACTACATGACCTGACCCGAAAAATAGATATCTTCCACCTGAATTTGATTCGACCTAATTTTTAGAGTATAAATCCAACTCGATCCGACCTGACACGGTATAAATTAAGAATTTAATTTAAAAAATAATAAATCTTTTTTTAAAAATTACATTATTATCCTCGGATCGTGTCAGAATTTTTTCACCCTCCACCCGAACCCGACCCGACTTGACTTCGCCCCTTAAAAAATTGGTCGGACCTTAACCCAAATTCTTTTTAAAAATATCTAACCCGATCGGGTTGAAACCCGTCAGATGCGGGTGAAATTACCTCCCTAATCACACTAGACCACTCAAAAAGAAGAAAAAAACGTCAAATAAGAAGTGAGATTTTGTTTTATAAACTTGGAGCGAATACAAAGTATCATATGTTCAAAGATTCTCAACCATTTGACAGTTGACGCTTATATTTATGACATATGTGATGTTCGACCGAGGACCTCAAGGGCTGATAAATCTGTTAATCATTGAGGTTGTTTGGTTGGTGCAAGAAGATGAATTATAAATACTTAATTACATTATTATTATTTAACTAAATTTTTAAATTAAATTTCTTTAAAATTCATCTTCAAACTTACAGACAACATAACATAATTAGATTCTCCAATGTAAAGTGCATATTCCACCCTTTTACTTTCACCCTTTAGTGTGTTCTTATCTTCTCCGGATTTCATTTTTATGTTGAGTGCAGTATCTCATGAGTGGATCCTTGATACCTTCAATCAAGTAATGATTATGAAATACATATATGCTACATATTCAAAGTTTTCATTAAGTTAAGGAAAACGTATTCCGAATGCAAAAGAAGAAGAAAAATCAATTATAATATGATACAACATTTGACTGATATGAACAAAGGTTATCGATCTAATAGAAATGTTGTTATACAATTCCTAAACTACGTTCAATCCTTCCAAACCCTTAAATTGGAAGTTATTATGATTAAGTTAAAGATTAATTAATACACTAACATGGGTTGATTCAAGTGGTAAGCAGGCTGATATCACTTAAGTAAGATCTCGATTTCGAGTCTTGAGTATGCAGAAAATCCTTGTTGGGAGACTCACCCACTAAAGTCAGGTGTGTGACGCGGGTTAATCCAGATTAGTCAAAGCGAAACCTTAGATCCCGAAGGGCAACTAAAAAATTAATTAATGACAGAATTATTCATATTAAAAACAAAAAAAACAAAAGAAAAGAGAATCAACAATCGACAACCAGTATCAAAATCGATGTCACTGTTGGCTAAACAAAATCAAAGAAAAAAATTAATATGATCTATAAAATCTGACACAAACTCTAAAGACAATTTATCATTCAAGTTTCTCGAGGTCATTGTCAATTAAGACAAGACATATAATTACATATTACATGTGCATCTATTGTCAATTGAAATAATCAAATGATTCAAATTTAGGTTATGAAGATGTTAGGTTGCCAATTCTAAAGTCAAACTCACCCAAATTTAATATTTAAAATTTAGGTTCACAGTACGAATTAAGTGACCTCGGTAATTAAGGGATTGTTGTAGACATCGGATTCATGCACTGCTTATGTAGGCGTGTATAAATATCCGTTGTTAAATTATTAAGAATCTTTAAACAGATATGTCTTATATTTACCCAGACTAATTAAAAACTTAGGTTTACATTACATGTTCTATTCTCCAAATAGTCAAATTTTAACAGTTGACAATATTGCTAATAACATCCCTTAATTATGAACCAATGGGAGAATAATAAAAATGTCAACTCTCCCTACTTGGTCATTAAGTTTTGGTGCACATATAGGGGCGTCTACTATGCTCCAAAGTTTTGAATGAGATATTTGAACCAACGTTTGTCATCTAAAAACTATTTTTCTTGTTTTGAATGGTCCAATCATGAAATAATATTGTTTATACATAAAAATATTTTCCTTAGAATCCAAATGAGCCTACCATTTGATTTTTGAGGATAGAAAATGTGTGCTAGGTTGTATATATTAATCATCTTTAGATAATACAAGGAAATTAAATACTATATTGGGTTTAGGGATGGGTGCTAAGTTGGTAGAATACAAGGTTCTTAATCTTGAGGTCGTGGAATCGAGTCCTACGGTGAGTAATTCATAATTTGGAGGTCTCCTACGGAAGCTGCTCTCAACCTGGTATTGGGGGCAGCCTACTATCCTACCTCCCCCTTACCCCATTATATATGGGAATAAGGGTCAGCTAATTTATGGGTCGGGTTTCCGACCAACCCGATTCGACCCGAAAATTTTATACATCCACCCGAAACCAAACCTTACCCGAGTTTAGAGTAATTCTACCCTACCCGAAATCTGGCCTGACTTTGGAGAAAAAAACTGACTCCAACCCGACTCAACCCAAAATAATATAAAAGTATTAATTTTATTTAATAAATAAGGACTTAATTGGAAAAAATATATAAAGAGGGTATTCTTGCAATTATCCCTTAAAATATAAGGTATTTTTATATTATTTTTTGGGTCGGTCGGATTTTTTTGCCTTAAACCCGAACTCGACCCGAATCCGAAATTAAAAAAAATCCAACTCGATCGAGTCGAGTCTGGTCGAAACCCATTCGGGTCCCGTGCCCATCCCTAATTGGGTTAAACAAGCACATATGGTCAGTTAATCAAATTGTTCATCTTTAATCTCTCTTATTCCCTTAGATCATGAATTTTAAACCCACTAAGAGCACTCTCATTCTTTCTCCTAGAGTACTTTCCCTCAACTCTAGCTACGATTAAGATTAGATTTAGAATTTGTAAAAAAATATTTTAGTACCTAAACTTTCATTTTTTTCAAAAACATATCTAAAGTTTAGTTTTTATTTCATTTTAATACCCCTGGTCAAAATTTAATGTTAAGTTTTAATTTTTTTTTTGAAATTTTAGGTACTAAAACAAAATTGGTATTTAGGTACTAAACGTGTTAGTTTTTTAATGACGAGTAATAATATAAAAAATTAAACATTAGGTATGATTTAGAAAAAATAAAAATTTAGATATTAAACGGACCAAAACTAATAGTTTAAGTAAATACTAAATGCGTAGTTTACTCTAGAATTAATCTGAAATAATAGATATCTACACATTTAACTATCAATAATAAGTATTAACATCATCCAAATATTTTCTCAATAAAATCATCCCAACATTGGAAAGTCCTTCCATTTTTCAGAAAATTTAAGCATAGACTAAACTTTTGCTTATAATTATCTTCTTATTATATGTATTTTTCCTTGGTCTAATCCATCCTCCATATGACATAAGGTATAGAGTATGTAATTAGGATTTTGAGTTTGACTTTCTCCCTTTTGAATGCTTGTTTAGTTTTGGGTTATGGGGAAGTATTATAAGAATCACTTAGGGTGCGTTTAGTTCATGGAATGTAAGATTATCAGTAGGAATAAAAGATTACCAGGGAATAGGATTACTGGGAATGTTGTATTTTGTGTTTGGTTGGTTTAGCAGGAATATAAGATTATCGTGTTTGGTTAAAGGAATAAAAGATTATTGGAATGTATATTTGACCAAATGTCCTTATATATTTTGTATAATATTACAATTGTAAAATATTTATATATTTTCTTTAAAAAATTAAATTCATAATATTATATAATTTTTTACAAAATTAAAATATAAAAAGGTTTAATGAAAGGGGTTTTTTTAATCACTGAACTTCATATAAAATTTTAATTATAGACTTTTTTGTAAATCTAAAATAATTTAAGGATAAATTTGTAATTTAACTTTCGTAGAATTTTATTATTCAATGACAGAAGAATGATATTTTTGAAAAAAAATAAAAATTTAAGGGCATTTTAGTCCAAAAAGCTTGTAATGTTACAATACCTAAGGGAATGGAGGTAATGACATTCCCAGTAATATACCCCAAAATATCTATTGGTAATAAAGCATTACCAGGAATGAGATTCCGATCAACTAAACATGGAAATGTAGGATTCCCGGTCAACTAAAATGGGAATGTGGGATTCTCATCCCATGGGAATCTCACAATCTTTGAACTAAATACTCCTTTAGGGTTTTGTGGTGGCACTTAAAGGTTTTAGGCAGGCCACCACAAAACCCTAGCTGACCATATCATTTTAACATATGTATATAATAAGATAAAATAGGGGATTTGGGGTATATTCCCAAAATCTTTAGGTGGCGTTTGGTTCGCAGGAATTCATTGGAATTAGGGGGAATTGGAATCCAATTCCACCATTTCCCATGTTTGGTTCAAGTTTTCAAATGGAATTGGAATCCCTCATGACTTCAACTTTCCATCAAATGAGGGAAAGTGAATTACATACATTCTATGATGGAATTCAATTCCTTTGTTTAAGGGAATTGAAATTTGACCATACTACCCTCATCAATCTTTGATAACTTATTCATTTATTGAATAAAATATTTTTTTATTATTTCGGTCGGGTTTCTAATTCATATTCGGGTCGGGTCGGATCGGGTGAAACTTTATTTTCGTCGGGTGGGTCAGTTTTTTAAGTGTGATATTCTGGTCGGGTCGAGTTCAGGTTTAGGGTGAAAAATACCCGACCCGACCCGAAAATATATATAATTTTACCTTATATATTTAGGAATAATATAATAATACCCCTCTATATAATTTTTTAATTAAGTCACTGTTTTTATTAAATAAAATATTTTTTTATTATTTCAGGTCGGGGGGTGAAACTTTATTTTGGTCGGATCATGTCGGTTTTTTAAGTGTGATATTCGGTCGATTTAGGGTGAAAAATACCGACCCGACCCGACCCAAAAAAATAATTTTACCTTATATATTTAGGAATAATTACAATAATATCCCTCTATATAATTTTTTTTCAATTAAGTCTTTGTTTTTATTGAATAAAAATACTTTTTTATTTTTTCGGGTCGGGTTTTAATTCATATATTCGGGTCGGGTCGGTGTGAAACTTTATTTTGATCGGGTAAGGTCTCGGATGGAGGTTCCTTTGTTATCGGTCAGGTCGGGTGGACCAAAAACCCGACCCATGGCCATCCCTAATTGGGATGTTTTAACTTATGATGTTTATTAGCATGATTTTTATAATTTATTGAAATGAATAATCAATTAATAAAATTAAAATTTAATATTTTTAAATTTTATAATATAACATGTAATTATAAAACAAACTAAAATTAAGCAAAAAAAATAAGAAGGGCAATCATGTCATTTTACATTGTTGAAATCAAATTAATCTAACATGTCTGCGAACCAAACAAAAATATGGAATTGGATTCCAATTCCTGACAGATTCCAATTCCTTCACATATTTCAATTCCTCATAAACATTCTAGCGAACCAAATGCCACCTTAGGGTTTTTGCAAATGCCACTAAAAACTTTTAGGATTTCAAATTTTCCCTCACTTTGCATTTATTTTGATTTAGCCCCTAAAATTTCTAAAATTACCAAAATAAAACCCCAAAATTTTAAATTTTACAATTTAGTCCAAATCCAATTAATCCTCAAAATCAAAATTTCACAATTTTGTCAAAACTTTTAGTTCTAGTTCCGGGTCGTGACATCCATCCTCATTTTTAAAACTTTAGCTAAGAGAGGAAATTTATGGATTTTTTTTTTTTTAAAAATGGTTTAATTTTACTTTGTAACTAAGGATTTAATATTTTCAAGTCACTATTATAATTTTTAAAGTTATACAATTTAATCCTTAAACCCAAAATTTTCGCAATTCTCGTTAGTAAGAACCTTGATTAAGTAGAAATTTGGCATAGAATCATTTGGGGTACTTTTTAATAAGTCGATGTTGTTAATATGGTGTTTTGACATGCTTTTATGGAGCTTGTTATTAAGTGATGAAATTGCCCTATGAATGTGTTTATTGTTTTGCTTAATCATATTACGTGGCAATAAGGCGCTTTGCACAAGTGGCATCTCACTCAGTAAAGGTGCATTCTGTAAAAATGTCTTATGCTTATGTGACAGGGGCTTCTACATAATGTCTCTCTTTTTAATTTTTTTTTAAAATAAATATTTTATAAAATATAATGTTAAATATAGTATAAATTAAATATAACATTTGATTATAACTAAAAATTTAATTCAAATAATATTAAATATCTAAAAGTTAATTCAGCTATAACTTTAAAATACTAAATTAATATAAGAATTAAAAAGATAAAACAATATAAACTAATGATGTCTTCTTTGTGAATTTATTCAATAGGGCGGTGGTTATCTATTTTGAGTGGGATTTCTTCGTATAGGTTGCTCTTCATCTTTATTCTCATTATCTTCATCGACGTCAATTTCATATTGTTAGGTCGAGTTGATGTCAAAGAAAGATCTCCATGGAATAACGAATGAGGAGTGTGTGATCAATAATCCCACCTCTCACTGAGAACTGTAAATATTATGAACAAAAAATGACATCGGTGACTGAGTTACATACCGTGGCGGTATTGGTGAAAAAGAACCATCTTTAAGATACAATACATATAAAAAAACATCAAGTATGTAGGAGTATAATATACTTAGAGTGGGGCTCGACATATGCCTCGACGGGCTCGACATGTAACCTAACAGGCTCGACATGCAAATTTACGGGCTCAACATGTAAATCAGTGGGATTGACATCAGTCCGTATGGTGGAAATTATGTTATTTCTGATAGTTGTTAAAGACGTGCTAGAAGCGTCTATTTATCTCGTCCCGCGTTAGTCGGGGATGATGATGTTGTCTTGGAGGACGTTTAGCCCAACGATGATGAATAAAATCGTCTCATTACCTCATCATAAAGTATGAATAAAATCTACAAAGCACACGATTATTCAGATGTCACTCACAATAACGTAAAAGATAAGAGACGCAGTCACATGACATATATCCAATGGACCACTTAGATCAGTGGGATGCAAGCCATAATTTCTATATTCAATTAAGACATCCAATTGGAACTACAAAAATATTTTCATTATCAATATTTAAATTTATAAATAAAATTATAATTATACAATTATTAAATACAAATTTAATAACTCACGATGATTTTCACTCAAAACCACCTATTTAGTATAAAATTATTTTAATTTATTTCATAATAAAAAATTATTTATAAAAAATTAGTATCGAAATTATTTTAGTAAGAAATAAAATGCAAATGTCTCGTTCCTGAATACATGTGATACCATGCTCATAATTGTAGAAGAAGGAAACGGTCGCCAATATATATTTTTCTATAGTTCGTCTACACATTTCTCTAAAGAGAAAGACTAAAACTATTGATCACAACTGAACGTATTCGTTTCATCAAAAACTATTACATCGTACAGACACTGTTATCTCTTTGTCTCTATCGTTGAGCTTTAATATATTTCATTTCAGCCTCATCTTCTTCTTTTTCAACCCTTTGATCCTCCTTCCGAAACCACAAAACTCTCAATCCAACGGTTGAAGATAAAATATACCATCTCATAAAGTCAGTCTAGGTTATTTTATTCAAATAAATTTCGATTACAACAATATTATTTGGAAAAAGAATATATACTTTTACTTTTTCCAGAATTTTTTAATTTTTAAAGTATTTTAAATATATTATAAATCACTTGTAGACTTCCCGATTTAAAAATATAACTTTTTTTTCTATATTCGAAGGGTAAACTAATCCGTTCATCACTCAATTATATTCTCACTTTTATTTTGGTTAATAAAGTTTAAAACTTTTCAATTTATTCACTCAATTTTAAAATTATTCATGTTTTAGTCACTCTAATTTGTTATTAATATTTTTTAATGATGTGAGATTCCTTTTTTTTTTCAAGTAGGATTAAAACAAAAAATAGAATCCCAACTTATATCCCTAAATCTCAAAATCAAACCTAAAACCTTAGACCCAAACCTTTAATCTCAAATTGCAACCCTCTTCCTACGCTCACCCTCAACGACATCATCTCCCATATGCTACACCTCATAGGGGTGCATGGCTTGCCATGTAGTTTGAAGGTACGGTTGCGGGTTATAAAACTGATGAATACCCTGTTGGCTCGACATCGACATCGATGAGAAACGAAAGCGTTAATACTTATTCAAGCTCAAAGTTGTCTTCGAAACTCTATAACAAGTTCTTGTCGTTGGAGCCACCATCGAGCAATAAGTATTTCTCAATACGTGGTTTGAGTATAACGATCCTGTCGAGCTTACTAACATCCCTCACGGTCAAGGGGTTTTTAAACATGGATTCTATTTGATGGTTATGGTTTTTTTTTTAATTTGATCCTTGGGCCATTGTCTCCACGTTGGTTAAGGTTGAAGGCACATGAAGGGAGGTAGGACATGAAGGTCCTCGTCGAAGGTGAGGGTAGAGGTTGTAATTTGAGATTTAGGGCTTTGGTTTAAGGTTTGATTTTAGTGTTTAAGTTTTGAGTCTAGGGTTTATAAAAATGTCATAATGTATAAAAATGACTGAAATAAGAGCGAGAAGATTATTAAACGAACGAGAAATAGTTGAATTTATCCATATTTAAGTAGACTTTCCGATTTAATTGTATAACTCGAAGTTTGAACAGATTTGGCCCACCCTCACAACTATTTATAAAATATTTACATTTTCATAAAATTAGTGGTATTAGATTTTTTTTAGCATTAAAATAGTTGGTTGCTTTATTGTTTTATGAACTCATTTTGACCGGCAACTCCACTTTCCTTTTTTTCTAACTCTTTCCACCTTCGCTCTCTCCTCTCATCCTTCCCTTCCACTTCTCTCCTCTGTCACGTTCAACTTCCCCAATGGACGAGCAGACGCCATTAAAGCGCCAAAGAGAAGAAACCCAGATCCCAGATGAAGAAACAAAACGCCATAAATCATACAATCACATCCTCTCTTTGCTCGAGTCAGAGGAAGACGAGCCGAACCAGGACTTGTCTTCTCTAATCACCGCTTTACAACACGAGCTCTCTTCAGACACCGTTTTAGATGATATCCTTGCCTTAGAAGCCGACCAAGAAAACCCCAGACCCGCAATCGCAACAGAGACGGCCGACGCCGTCACCGGCGCCGCAGACGGTGGAATCAGGATGATAAAGAGCAGGTCATACGGCATTTGCTTGAAGCCTCTGATGATGAGCTTGGGATTCCTAATAGGGAAGGTGGTTCTGAGTTGAACAAGGTTTTGCAATGGCGGAAATGGGTCTGCTTTGTGCGATAGGTTATGGGAGCTTGAAGACGAGGCTGCTAATTACTATACCTTGTTGCAGTCTGAACTTTTCCTGTAGTAATGGCTGGTGATGTGGCTTTTGTAGGAATGGAATTAGGTGGCAGAAAGTTATTCTAGGGTGAAAATTAAAAAAGAGGAAAACTATGGGGACTGTATTCGAAATTCGAAAATTGACGCCCTTTTTCTTTCGGGGTATTATTTTGATTTTAGAATTCCCCCATGAAAATATTTTGAATTTTCTCTGTTTCTCTGAGGTTTAGAAAACTATTTTTATTTATTTTTATTTATTTAAAGTAAATATAAAATAATATTTGTTCGAGATGGTTTTTAACCTTTTTAACATTAAATATTCAATTTTTTAGTATATTTAGTGTGGAATTTAAATCTTCATAAAACAATAATAAATTTATATTTTTTCTTTATATCTTTCATTCTTTTTAAAATAACGTTATCATTTCCTTGATCATATATCTTTAAAAGTACGTAAGTAATCAATAAAAACATAAATTATGAGATAACGGAGTGCATTAAACATTATTAATAATAAATACTTAAATATTATGAAAATAATAGTATTTTCTTTATATCTTGGGGGACTCTTGAATTCGAACATAAGGATTAAAGTAAGAATCCCACTTTTAACATAATTATGCTATTATTCATTTTAATTTAGCATATAAAAAGAAGCTAATACCCTTTGATTTACCCCCAAAAAAAAAAACTATTATTCCCTTTAGCCTTTTTTCTTTATTAGGCATATAAATGAACTGAACGTTCAGCGAATCGTTCATGAACCGTACGGCGGGAAGTCGTTTATGTACGTTTATTTATTAAATGAACGAACATGAACAAAGATTTTTTGTTCGTTTAATTAAATGAACGAACACGAACATAGGTCTCGTTCGTTTATTTACGTTCATGAACGTTCGGTTATGTTCGTTCGGTTATGTTTGTTCGGTTATGTTTGTTTATGTTCATTCGGTAATATTCGTTTATGTTCATTCATTTATGTTTAACCCAATCTTCTTAAATCAATTTTGGTGACCAATTTGTAAGTATCTTAAAAATATTAATTAATCTGATATTCTGATAACCAACATAATTAACCCAATTTTATTTGGAGATTAAATCCAATATGTTAACCCGTGAGGCAGCTCGCACCTATTTCAGTCCCTTTTTTTTCAAAACCCTAGTATTCACTGGAGAGTGGAGACGATCGCTGAAAGCTTCAAAACAAGTTATATTATAGTACAATATGAAGTTTTACTGGTCTGTTTTTCTCTCTTTATCTGTTTTATTTGGCTTAATAGTTGATATGAAAGTTATTGCGGGTATCTTCACATCTAAACTCAATAAAACATCATACTTCTTTCTAGAATATATGTGAAGATAAAGGTAACATAGGAAGTATATGAGCATCAGTAAAGAGAAAATATATAGAATTTGTCAGAAAAATAAAACAAGGTTTCTATGCAATTTATGAAAAAGTGTGTAATAGCGGAAAATGATGTTCATATGTAATCATTGACCACTAAGATAATGTTATAGCTTAAATTAAAGTCGTGTGAATCATTTAATATCTTTAAAAAGATCGATAAAATATTTGATATATTTAAAACATTTCATCACTGCTAATCAGCTCTTACGCTATTTATCACTGTAGATTTGGTTGATTTGCATTGTCGACTATTTTTCATGAAAAAACATGGAAGGTAGGGTCTCCAACGTTTGTTCGTTATGTTCGTGTTCATTTATGTTCGTGTTCGTTTATGTTCGTGTTTGTTTATGTTCGTTTATTTATTAATGAACAAACATGAACAAGTTATTCCTTAATAAACGAACATAAACAAAAAAAAATTTGTTCATTTATGTTCGTGTTCGTTTATGTTCGTTTATTTATTAAATGAACGAACAGAACATACCTCTATTCGTGTGCGTTTGGTTCATTTACAGGCTTACTTATACTTTTTAAAGTATTAACCTTGGCAAGTTTCTCATAAATTAATATTAAATTTTGACATAGGATTATAATGTTGAGTAAATGGGTTTATGTAAGTCTAATTAAATATCATATGCATATGATAGAATTGACCAAATAATGTGGTAAATAATTTGGTTCAAGGTGCATGAGAAATTATTTTTTTGGGGTAAGATAAATTAATAATTGAATATAAAAGACGTATGAATCACATGACATCTTCACAAGATGCATGAAAAAGTGTACGTCTTCTCCTTGCTTCTATGATCGATGGCATGCACGCCTATGCCTTCCTAGTCTATGTACAATACGCCCACTGTTATGTGTATTTTTCTCAGACCATGCAAAAGACGTTTGGTGCCATTCAAAGTGACAGACATTTAGAGGAAACCCTTCACCTATCAGACATTCAAATCATTGCTTTCAAATATATCAATATAATTTTAATTTTATTGTACCTCCTTTAGACCTCTCTCATTTGATCAAAATATTCAGTACGTATGGTTCACAAAATAAGATTATTCGTGAGAATATAAGATTATTAGAGAATAAAATTACTAAGAATATTGTATTTTGTGTTTGGTTGGTTTAGCAGAAATATAATATTATCGAATTTGGTTAAAGGAATAAAAGATTATTAAATGTATATTTGATCAATTGTCTTTATTATATATTTGTTTTTTTTAACAAATTTGAAAATTTTATATTTCTTTAAAAAATTTAAATTCATAAAATTTATATTTTTTTACAAAGTTGAAAATATAAAAAGGTTTAAAATTTTATTTTAAACTTTGAACTTCATATAAAATTCGTTCGTGTGCGTTCGATTCAGTACAGGCTTACTTATACTTTTTAAAGTATTAACCTTGGCAAGTTTCTCATAAATTAATATTAAATTTTGACATAGGATTATAATTGGAGTTAATGGGTTATATAGGTAAGTCTAATTAAATATCATATGCATATGATAGAATTGACCAAATAATGTGGTAAATAATTTGGTTCAAGGTGCATGAGAAATTATTTTTTTTGGGTAAGATAAATTAATAATTGAATAGAAAAGACGTATGAATCACATGACATCTTCACAAAGATGCATGAAAAAGTGTACGTCTTCTCCTTGCTTCTATGATCGATGGCATGCACGCCTATGCCTTCCTAGTCTATGTACAATACGCCCACTGTTATGTTTATTTTTCTCAGACCATGCAAAAGACGTTTGGTGCCATTCAAAGTGACAAGACATTTAGAGGAAACCCTTCACCTATCAAGACATTCAAATCATTGCTTTCAAATATATCAATATAATTTTAATTTTATTGTACCTCCTCTAGACCTCTCTCATTGATCAAAACATTCAGAGTACGTATGGTTCATAAAATATAAGATTATTCGTGAGAATATAAGATTATTAGAGAATAAAATTACTAAAAATATTATATTTTGTGTTTAGTTGGTTTAGCAAAAATATAATATTATCGAATTTGATTAAAGGAATAAAAGATTATTGAAATGTATATTTGATCAAATTGTCTTTATTATATATTTGTTTTTTTAATAAATTTGAAAATATTTATATATTTTCTTTAAAAAATTTAAATTCATAAAATTTATATTTTTTTACAAAGTTGAAAATATAAAAAGGTTTAAAATTTTATTTTAAACCTTGAACTTCATATAAAATTTTAATTATAGATTTTTTTGTAAATCTAAAATAGTTTAAGGATAAATTTGTAATTTAATATTCATAGAATTTTTATTATTCAATGACAGAAAAAGAATATTTTTGAAAGAAAAAAAAAATTTAAGGACAATTTTGTCCAAAACACTGGTAATTCAACAATACCTAAGGAAATGGAGGTAATGACATTCCCGGTAATATAACCCAAAAATCTACTATTGGTAATAAAATTACCGGGAATGAGATTCCGGTCACAAAACATGGGAATGTGAATTTCATTCTCATGAAAATCTCACATTCCTTAATCCAAACACCCCTTAGAGAAAACCCTTCACCTATCAAGGCCTTCGAAGTTTGGTACCATTCAAAGTGCTACAATTACTTGATGTTGTCATTAATAATTTACTATATGATAATCAGATTTATTTATCTTATCGACTTATAAATAATAATTTACTATATGATAATCAAATTTATATAAGAAACTCAAAAGGAAAAAACTGTGATTAGAGAACAAGAATTTTACTAATATGAATTAAGAAATTTACTTTAATAGTTCCATATTTTTAATCAAATTAGGATTTTTTACTTTTTCAAATTTAAATATTAAGTAACTTGTGCAACTTTAAATTTGAATCAAACTGTAACAGCGATGATAAGAAACAAATTAAAAAGATAAGGTGCAATCGATCAGGACTAATTAAAGTGATAAATAATTTAATATTAATTAAACAAATTTTTAAATTTAAATCTTCGTATATATAAAAAATTATTATTAAAAAACTCACTAACAATAATTAAATGTACGACGTTGATCAATATAAATTAATCAACACCTAGTAATCGGGAAAAAAATGCAACTTGCCAACTTTAGGGACTTTGGGACATGGAAAAGTACTCTTCATGTCGCTGTTTGGACAGTGAAGATAAAGGGTCCAACATTTGATGTGAGATGCACATGGGGCATGCATTGTTTTGTTTCTGTATTTCACATCATATCAAATCAAATCACAATAATAACGATAGTGATGGATGGCATCTTGAGGAAATGGGAATGTGGAAATTTATCTACCCTCCGATCATCTTGGTTTATAATAGATGAGGACACGTGCTGTGTCTAATGATGGTTTGGCTATATAAATAAATGCCCTTGTTCCTTAATGTAATGGGAGTAAGAGAAGGTAAAATAATAGACTGTCTTCAATACTAGGTTAAGAATAGTTTTCGTAAGAGATATCTAAATTATGAAATGCTCGAGACTCAATCCCACAACCTCAAGATTAAGAACCGTAGCTATATGATCAAGATAAATGTACATCAGTTTTCAACACGTTTACGTCTAGAAACTCATTCTATATTTTTTTAGTATAATTCATTTTATTAAAAAATAATACAACAC